TTTTCTTTTTGGGTTGCGCGTGTGAAAAATTGGTATGTTTCTTTTTGAATTACAAAACAAGTTTGTTTCTCACATAACATTAATTATTAATTCCATCATACATTATATTGGGATATTTTTAGCCAGTTAAATCAGCTCAGGGAGCTAACGTCAAGCGCTGAAACACTGTGAAAACAATAGAAGTGATTGTTATTGCAGCAATGTAAGTGTTTTTATAATCATAATAATCACTGCTATTGTTCACTCTGTTTTAGGCGCCTGGCGTTGGCTTCCTGAGCTGATTTAGCTGCCTGAAAATATCTTAATATGTTGTCTCAATTCCATTTATTTTAACTTGTATTTTGTATATATGAATAATATGAAAAACGCTGATTAAAAACGCCCTTAAAAGTGTGCTGAGAAAATGGATTTCTGTTAAGTTCGACATAAATTTATGATAAATCCGATCAATGGCACAACATTTTTTGCAGGTTTCGCGATCATTTTCATAATTAGATGAATCTATTACAATTGTGTGTGTGTGTATTTCTTCATAGCATAAATCTCGGTCATTACATAGAGTCGACAGTTTCGAAGAGAAAAAGTGGGTGAATCGTATAAATTTTTGCGACATCGAAGGAATGGCACGTGTGTGGCCGAATGACATTGAAATAGATGCAAACTGATTTTCGTTTTTTTTTTCATTATCACCAAAGCATGCGATTAATAAAGGCATTTTTTTCATTGTTTAATAGAAATCATATCAAAACCACGCACCGCCAACGTGTATCCCATTTGTGACATATATGAAATTGAAATGGAGTAAGCGGGCGCTCGCTAACGAGAATGTGTGTGTTGAGGATCGATTGCGTGCGTGAAATTCATTTACATGTTAAAACATTTTCGTGCGTTCATTTATCGATTATTCACTGTTCAAATGTGACGAGACCATCAAATGATTCAACGCTCACTGGACAATATATGGGACACAATATGTATTTTGTAGATTTTCAATTTAGTATTTTTCCTCTGTATTTCGATCATATAACAACATTTTGGCGCATTTATTGATAAAAAAAATTGTTATATGTGTTTGAGCTTTTATTTCATTCAATAACCTCATCGCTTCACAAGCAACGCGCGTTATCTGCTATTCTATCACTGATTAAACTCATATGGCTTTGCTCTATTGCTATTTTGCTATTGACCATCGTTGCGGTTGTCTTTTCTATTGTTTCGACCCATTCAGATTGTTATGTAATGATTGAACAAGTAAAATGATTTTTAATCGAGCTTTTATTATCATACATACAAACGAAAGAACCTCCATTCGTACCCCGAATTGAAATGGAAATGAAAACCTTGAGGTGCAAGCACTCTTTTTCTTTATTTATGATTGGTTTTTGTTTATTTTATTTTTTCGTCTCTTCCGGGAGGATGAGATTTAATTGAAATGTTTTGACGTCATTACTTTGACGGTTCCGTTTCAAATATCTTATTTCATTTGGCACCCGATTTTTTTTAAATCGATAAAAAAATACACAACAACACAAGCACAATGAAAAGAAAATTTGTTTCCATTTTCTCTGTTGAACCACGTCCTCGAGTCGATTTCACTTATTACAAATTGATTTTTGTTCTCTTCGAGGTAACAAATGATCTCGATTTTGTTTGTGACTAAAAACTTCTTTGGCAATGAATGATTATTGTTACAATTGCAGATAATAATATGATTCGGTGCCAAAATTATACAGATCAAGGTGAAAAATGTGTTCAAAGAAGAAAAAAAATCGTTAGCATTTCGGGTTGAGCCAACATTCAATAGAATGCGTAACCTTTGATTTAATCAAAATGTAACGTTAAATTGATAAAAATAGGAAAAATTCCATGTTTATGGTCTCATATACGTGAGAAAATTGCCCATAAATTGCTCATACAATAAATGTCGCGATGATCATAAATTAATGTGATATAATTAATGCGTTTAACGAGGTAGTGTGAGAAGAAAAGGAGACCACAACGCAATAGGCCCAATGGACAATGGACGTAGATAGAATATGGATGACGGGCACAAGAGTGTGACAGACAGAGAGAGAGAGAGAGAGAGAGAGAGAGAGAGAGCGACAAAAATCGGATGATGAGCAAACGGAATTGAAATTAATCAAGCAAATATCTTGCGGCGTTTTATGCGGAAATGACTGGCACTGTAATTGTTTGGAATATTAGCAGCTCAATGGCAATACAACTTGACAAAAATTTCCCAATGGAATTCGCTATAGATAAATATATATTTATATAAAATGACGCTGACTCTCGTCCTGGGAATTCGAAATGTAACGATTTGTCACCATATTCCATTAGCGCAAACATTTCTATTTTCATCGATTCTATTTTTATATTCGGAAGGTACTAAAGACACAATTAAAGGGCATGGGTTTAGGTTGCATTGCCGTTACGAAATCGCCTCTTTGCCCAAGGTTTCACGGTGGTAAAGTTTATCGTTTTGATCATTTTATGTGCAACTACTTGCAAAAAGAAGAAGATGACGAACAAAACAAATGAAACATTGTGGTACGTCCTATGACTGATTGTATTGCAAATGTGACGGAATGAGCTACAATTTATCTAAATAACATATCAACATTTCGAATCAATCAACATTGGTGTAAACAATGGACACACAAAATGGGGGCAACAAAAACTTCCCTTGAAATAAACAACAAGATGCCAACAATTTAACAATGGCCAACTTAGACAAGAATATTCCAACTGATTTCTTTGCATTTACGTAATAAAAATTGAATTGGTGGAGCGAAGCGTTGGCACGAATCCAAATCTGTGGCTGCGAGAAGTGAAAAAAAAAACGCAGAAAATCTCAAAACAAAATAGGAAAACTAGCATATATCGAGTGAAAGAGATAGAGAGAGAGTTTGATGTTTTGAATTTACGACGAAGCGCGAACATAAATGATGCGTATATTTTTCTTTTCATCTTTTTTCCCTGCTACTGTATTCATTCATTCTCCGTACACGTATGTGTGTTTGCTGGCTCTAGCCACCTGATTGGCGCCAATTTTTCCGCAAACATTTCACGAATGTCGCTTTCGCTTTTTTTCTATACTGTTAATGTGTCTGCATCAGCAGCAGCAGTAGCAGAAAAGCATTTATCTGCAATGAAACACAATGTCACAGTGTATCCCAGCGAATAGTGTGACAGAAAAAGTGATGGCAACAGCAAGACAGGAAGCTGATTTAAATCTGATTTAAAAAAAAAACCCTGATTGTAACGCTTTGGTGAAGGATATTTAATTGCATTTTTTTAAATAAATTTTCAAGAATTTACGATTGCAATTATGATGGTCGACAGTTGTGCAAGAATAACAATTTCACTTCACACATACACACCATAAACTGAAAAAGTTTTTCTCCGAAACTCTTTTGTTTGCTGTGCGACATTGAATGAATTGAAAGTAAATTGAAATTTGATTAAGAGCAAGTCAATAATAACAAAAATGAACAAAAAATCGAGTTTTCTTCTTGTTTCCATGTATCCATCGATGTCTCTCTTTTCGCACAAAATTTGAGGAGTATTTTATAACATCACCACATAAATGCAGCTCACACAGTCCTGTTTTCAAACTAATTAAACATTTTTGCTTTTACAAATGATTTCGGTGTAAATGTGCGGCAAACTACACCACATATGAAGCATTTGATGCATGTATATCATTTTTTTATGGAAATTTATTTTGCGAGAGACATTTTCTGGACGACCAAGCGAGATGCGAAAACAAGTATTTCGATGGAAAAAAGGGGAAAAAGGCACCATTCCAATTCAATAAATCTTCATAATTATGGGATGCATATTAATTTGAAAATACAGTTTTCCTGGAATTTAACAATATACATTAATAAACATTCTCGTTTCTGCTAAAGCTGTTTTTGCTTCATATTTCTTATCACATGCACAAAATGGAGAAAATCAAACCATTCCAGTATGCGTACACATACACATTGTCTATGTATCCATTGAAATGAAAGCAATATCCATAATTTTTTGAGCTGTAATTACATTCCGGTGCGAAGCGCACTTGAATGTTAATTAAAATACTTAAATAGAGCTTGAAACTTGACAGTTTAATCAAAATGGGATAATAATTTAAGGCTGCCAAGTTAACTATATAAACGTAACAACGACAAGCAACACTTGAATTTTCAAGAAAAGATAAAACGTGAGCAAGAAAGGCGCCCTCGCACATAAGTTCAAATAATTCATAAAGATTCGTCAAAAGTTCATCAACTTTCACAAGAAACGATTTCATGGAAGAAATTCTGGATATTTATCTATTTCACTTGACAACAAAATTCAACTTAACACATACTACATATTCACTCTTAATATTAATAAATTGGAAGCAACAGGCAAAATAAAATGGACTTCGATTTGATTTGCAGTTGTTAATTTTCTTACATTTTCTTATGCAGAACGTCTTTTGGAATCACCAAATTGAAAGGAAAACATATCTTCACCTCATTTTCAAACAAGCAAAAAAAAATTGAGCAAGATTTTTTACAATTCCAAAAAAACTGATAAAACGTACTCTTAACAATATGGTTAGTTAATAAGAGTGTGCATATTACCTAAATGATTCGAATACCATTGTATAATACATGTAGCAAATTGTTTTGAATTTGATTTGATGCAAAAATGTGAAAATTCTTTCACCCACGAAGTATAATGGTAATAATGGTGTTTTTTCACATATACTATACCGTAACAGAGTATATATATGTGAAAAATGTGTCATTTTCAATGGTGTAAGGATGGATTTTAAGTGTCCATTTATTTTGATAAACAAATAACAAATTAGATGTGTATTAGGAACAAGAAGGCAATCGATGCTTGCATTCGAAGTGGATTTCTTTCGGGTTTTTATTCCATATTTTTTGTGTATGACGAAGTGAACACAAAAAACCAGAAATAAATTAACACAAACAAAAAATAAATGACACTCTACTTACTGTTGTTCGCCAATAAATTCTCTTGCAATTTATCACGTTGATCTTCAAGTACTTCACCTAAATACGTAGCCACTTTACGTGTGATGGATTCAACATATCCATCCAATTTCCCTAAATCATCGGAAAGACCAACTAATTGATCCAATGTACCAACCTGAAAAGAAAAGACACCGAATTGATCAGAGTTGTAATGGAGTTTGTTTTTGTTTTTTTAATTCAATTGCATTGATATCTTATGGAAATGAATGGTGTGACGTATATTCAATGTTTTAAGAATGGTGCGTGTATGATAATTCGATCATGTCCAATGACAAAAAATGGAATGAAATAGTAATATAGATGAGATGGAAAAAAAGCAACCAGCAGAAATTGTAAACCAAAAATAAACATTTAACGAATGTCGAATGAAATGAATGAATAAATTATAAAACCGATGATGATGATAATAATGAGGCAAGCGATAAACCATCGAAATGAGTGGTTTTTATTTATAGACGGGCAAAGCGACAGAAGAATGGGTAGAGAAAATATCGACATTATCCGCCTCGTATTTCAACCTCATTAATGGATAATACACAATACTAAATGCTAACTATCTGCGATATTACCACAGGTTCTTATTACAAGCGAAACCAACCATTTCGATGTCATTGTTGTTGTTCACATATAATATGAGTAGTTCGCTTTTGTATAATTTAATAATTTTTTTCTTCTCTCCCTTCAACATTAGACACCACCGTGACGTAATCAACACCGCTCTCTCTCTCTCTCTTTTGTGTTCACAGATAGTTGCAAAAAGATGGCAAGTGTGGCCAATACGCAAATGAATTTATATAGAAATTAATGGTTGGCTATTTTTGAAGAGATAGTAGCGATTGAAGGAGAATTAGATTCCACGTCCTCCGAAAAAAGGCACACAAAGGACACTAAACACATCCGTACAGCATATATCGCAAACGAACTAATGCGCGGCTTGAGTAAGTACAATATGAACACACGAATGAAAGTCAAGGACAACTTGGAAATTGCCACAGCAACTTTTTTATCAAATATTTAATGAACTGACATTTATTTTTAATTTTGGAATCGATAAGTTTCGTTGCTTTTTTTTTACTTCGCATTTGAAACACATTTGTTTTGTTTTTGCTTCAGTACTTTCAGTCTATCTCTACTTCTATCACTTTCCCCCTCCAACTTTCTATCTCTTGATCTTTCAGTAAATAAACGGTGCGCGATGATGACAAAATGTTACTGTTTTTTTTTATTTATAAAATATAAAGCACGAGGACGAGACCGAAACAACAATAAACACGAAATGACAATGGGCACAGAGGCGACTATAAAATTTTGACTGCTTTATTTTGTCTAGTTTATGTGCTACAATTCGATCAAATTGTTTTCACTTTGGAATTCGCTCTTCTTCTTCCCTTTTTTTGCCATATACAAACATTCAAAGTTTGGCGTTGCATGAAGATGATTGAAAGAACATCTTTAAGCACGCAATTTCAAGCCCAAATCAATTCCAATCAAATAGAAAAAAAAACAAATTCAATCGATTTTGTTATGACTTATTCATTCCGAACAAAAATTTATCTAATTTCACTGGCGCACACACCGATGGCGACACACGTTATAAATATATACAAAGTCAATAGTCCCACATGAATCCCAACAAATTCCCTGATCGAAAAATCGAAAATCGTTTTCGGTTATTTCGATTGCTTCTTTTAAAATGATTGTGTGTGTGTGTGTGTCGGAGTGTGTAAGTAAACCAGATTATCTTCATTCGAATATCGAAAAAAAAGATACCCTTGAATCTGTAGTTGACCGTTTTTCGCCTTTATATGTAGTGTTAACTTCCTGGGAATCGAATAACACGTATTATAAAATTAGAGTATCTAGGAGACATTGTTGGTGTTACTTAATTCAACATATGTATGTACATTGTACACATTCATATTTCACAATGACTTTTACAATATATGTCCTGTCACTTCGTATATTGAACGATGTGTACATCTTTAGAAAATAAAAATATATATTCGAAGAGAGAGAGAGATGAAAGCACTAGAAATACTCAGGAAGAAGAAGACATCATGAAAATTGTTTGTGATTCAATTATAATGCAAGTTCCGTTGATGAATTTTCTGTTATAATGCGGAAAACTTTGTACGTACAAACACATCGTAATTGGTCAATGTAATGTAATTTTCAATTGAAACAGGGGAACAAAATGTGGGTGTCATCCATAAAGGTAATGTAAATGGTTTTCCGTAAACAAAAAAATCCAGATTTTGCGAGAGTTTTTTTCCGCAATTTTTCTCTCATTTTACAACAGCACATGATGGACATAAATAGATTGCGGTATGAAAAATTATCATCGAAATGAAATATGGACAGGGGGATTTTATTGAGAGTAATTTTGATGAATTTGGAAGACGTAGGATGAAAAAAATCAGTTTTTGAGATAAGAATGGCACACGACGGAAAGCTTCTTTTGGATTAAAAATGACTAGAGTGAGAGAGGGAGAGTGTGTAGTCATTAGGATATCGTTGCTCGTTGCCATTGTCAAGAATAGTCAACATAATATTTGTATCCTTGAATGAATTCAATAAATGTATCAAATGAAAAACTACAACAACTACATGCATAAATGAAATATCAATATTACGGACACGTTGTGCAAAGACAAATAATGTAATTAAGTCAAACAGAGTAATTCCAGTATGGCATTTATCAATATAATAATCTCTCCCATTACTGTCTATAATGGGCACTTCCTTTTTAATAATGTAGTATGTATGATGCAATCAGGCTTCATTTCACCAAAAAATCACATTAGATAATAATATGTGCGTTTTTTTCACATAGTTTTACTCTATAGAGATAAATTTATGTTCATATACGAGCGTTTGCGATATAGTTACTTCAGAAATAGCGAATATACAATATTCGACCACTAAACATAAGATTATTTTTTTGTGCATTTGCCTCACACCAACTGATCCAGTCCAGTGTATACATCAGCCGGGATTTACTTACAAATGCACAGTGGTTGGTCGAAAAAAATAAAACATTAAAAACATATAGCGATATATTTCCAGACATTGGGCTCACAAGTTTTTTGCCCTTTAATCCATCGTGTGGATTTCACACTTGTTGAATGTTGGCCGTTTGCTCAAATACCGCTCTAGCCACACAGATATAAATTTAATAAAAGCATGTAATGAACATCGATTTTACAGTAGACATCTATTAAAATGATGCATTGATAAAACAGTAGTCAATCACAGCAAAGTTTTTCTTTCACCATATTGATGTGTGAGTGTGTTATAAATTATTTTGTTTTGTTGGCTCTTTTGAGTGAATGATTTTGTGTGGAAAATTTTACTAGACAAAAAATCGTATTTTATTGATGTAACATTTGACGAAAGGACCTTCTATATCCAAAGTGAACCAAAGAATTTTGCTTGGAAAATTACCAATCGATGTGTAACTTGTCGTTATTCCATCGAATTATTATTTCGGATGTTGTTGATGTTTGCTATTTTCATTTGAAAAAAAGAGAGATATAAACACATAAAATGTTGGTGTCAGTGGATTTGGTTGAGCCTCAGCTCGGCGGTGTTCTCTAGATGATATTCATTTGAAAAGAAGGCGGCAGCCGTGGCGGCAACTTGAGTTTATATAATGAATGATATAGATTTAAATAGTGTTTTTGGATATACTATTTTATGTGTGACAAGCGTATACAAAGCTTTCAAATTTTTTTTATAAGGGTATTAGTCATGTGACACGCTTTCGTCTTGGGGATTATTGATTACTGACATGCGAAACGCATAGCAATAAAATAGTGTCGAATTATAAGCAAGAAAACAAAGACAACAACGGGACAATGAAACGGCAACTACAACGACAACATCCATCAAAACAAGACGCGCAACCAGCGTGAAATAACAGAGCCAAGGCGTCGGGTAAAATGAGACGGCAAAAATTAACAATGACGAAAAATAAAATCAACCATCTGGCGAAAAGTGTATGTTTGCTTGTGCTAGCGCGTATGTGTGTATGCGTGTATTTGGCGGAAGGAATCACGAATTATACAAATAAAATGATGGCAATCAAACTGATAGTGAGAATGCATGAACATGAAGATAAATATTGGCGCGTGCCATGCCAACACGCATACGCGCTTACAATTTCGGACAACATGATTCGAATTTCATGCTTTTTTTTTTCATCTTGTTGTTGATGTCGAGTAAAACGGGTTTTCTTTTTCTCTATCTCTTTCTCTCTTAACTTCTATGGTTCTGAATGATACTATATACTAGTTTTGACCGTGAACCAATGCCACAAATGTCCTTCGCTCCGCTAATGAATAAATTAATCAATCGATTATTGTCACATATTTATGTGATATACAAAATTAGAATAGAAAAAAAGCTACGACATAGTAATCGACCAAGTCGCGCACACACACTAAACTATGGCACATTTTAAGCATACTTCACTATAATCTATCTTTCTCACACTTGGTCATTTACAATAAATGACCAGAGAAAGACCCAGTTAATATATTTGGTTGGCCGAGAAAGTTTTACGATGTGCCATCGGAAACCCAAACAAAAAATACATAAACAGAAGCTTTTTTGTGAACGGCAAAAATGGAAGCTTTTAACTTGGCATTTGCAACCTTATTTTGGTGTGGTTTTCGTTATGATGATTTACAAATAGCGTATTCGCCCTTTTCTCTCTCTCTTCCCCATTCCACTGTATGTATGTCTCAAGAATGGCTCGCCTCATTTAATGTATGTATTATTCAACATAATTTTTTTTTTTGGGAAAATAACAGCAACAGTAGAGTAACAATGAGCAACATGCACACGGTTTCCTTCGTTCAATGTGCGTTCATTCGTCATTTTTTTTAAAGAATAATATCATATGTCCATCAGCTTACACACATTGATCCAATAATTAATAAATTCAAATGGTTCTGTTTTTGTACTAAAATATACAGCAAGAGGAATGGCAACATTTTGTGTGAATGTATAGATAAAGTGTCTGTTGAACTTTATAAATTTTACCGTCTGTTTGTTTGAAAATGCTAATTTTAGACCTTTCTAAATGCGAATAGATTAATTGAAAAGAAAAATGCAAAAAAAAAATTCATCCAACATTTTAATAATTGGATATCTCTGCCGAGCAGTGGCGTCTATTGATAAGAACATTGCCATGTTGTCGGTTCAATATATCGTGGTTGTCACCTTGTGTGCAAAGTAAACGACGAATTAATAAATTATGCTCTTTAAAAGTGGTATGATGGGCGAACAAATAATTTTTAGGAAGATGATAAGGTGTCAACGCAAAAAAGAATATATAACAGCAGCTGAAAGCGTGATGATCGATACAATTACCAAAATATTCGACACCCGAAACTGTTCCCTTCAAATGAATCGCGATGTGGCAACATTGTTGTCATGAAATAATTTTGAACATGTGATAAGATTATAAAATTGGAATGAATGGGTGTTTGCAGTGAAATAATGCATAAACGGTTCGAAATGTATTCAAATCCATCGAGAGTATTCGACTATGTTATTTAAACGTTTGAACAGTGTGCGTGCGCGCATCTACACCATAAAATAATACATGAACAAAAAAGCGTCGTTTTTTTTTGCTTGCGGGGAAAATCCATAAATTACAAATTGTAATTACTCAATATATTATCATATGATTTATATTTAACCCCGAAATGAACACACAAAGAACAAAAGAAAAACACGTGTTGCTGATACATATATTTTTTCTTTAGCTCCGAAATGTTATCATATTGGATCGAATACAAAACAACCGCGAACGGAAACAATTTTAAATGCAAGCGCGTGAATCATCGCATTTTCTCGTCATTACAATGAAAATGTAAATTTTAATGAATGCCAACATTTCAATGAATTTATCCAATTTGAAATACTCTTTTCATCTCTTCAGTGCTGGGCCCAAAGCGTGAATGAAAGAAGAAGTGGCAAAAGCATTATTTTGTCAAGCCAACGAAAAATGTTTGATCAATGTGGCGACTATATTGCGTCAAAAAAATATACGCGAACAGACAAATATACATATAGATATGAATTAACCGGTAGAAAAAACGTTCCCTTCCTCTCTAAAATGTATGCGTATTTGTGCAAATATGTGTTGCTAACTAATTTTGCTAGCACATTGCTTGCTAATTTTCCTCAGCTCACACTCTGTAATTTGAAACGAATGTGACGCTGATTAAAAAAAATGGCGGTCAATCAACTTTATACAATACATTGCACTACCATTTGAACCATTAGGTTTGTGGCGATTTCACACGCACATACATACACATCTATCTACCCATACAAAGGAAAAATCATCGCTCTTCGTCCATAATAATTTTCGCTTTCATTCCAGAATGTCAAGAGCCCATATTTCCACAAACGTCGACCACCATAGGCCGTTGGCGTGCAAATCGGGAATTCAATATCATTCATAACACCATCCAATTTGTATGTTGTTTAAGGGGGGGAAAAACAACCACACAAAATGTTTGTGTATATATATGTATTTGACCGCATTTGTACAGACTATATAAATCGGCCATAAGTTGTCAGAAATAAAGAGCGAACAAATAAAAAACAACAACACTGAAATGAAATCCAATCGAACTCAATTCTCATTTACATAATTTAAAATCTAATTGCACAGTGATGTGAAAATGAGCAAATGAGAGAGGGTAGAAGTGTGAAAAAAGCCAAGATAGTGACATAATTCTCTGCAGCTTTATTCCCGTGTTTTTGTTGCCGTTTTATAATTGCTATGCACTCAATTCAATCAATGGAAATGGATCATTTTCAATGTGAACACTTAGACTCAACGATCCATCAGCGAGATGCCGTTAACCGTCGCCAGCATCAATTGTGCAAAACGCTGGCGGCAACATAATGTAATGCGATTCATGAAATCAATGTAAATTTAAGCAGAAAAGAAAATTTGTAAAGAGTGATAAAATGAAGCGCACATAAAATGAAAAAAAAAACTAGAAAAAGAAAATGAATATGAAAAATGCTCACCTTTAAATCCGGTATATGAAATTTGTAGTTGACGCACAGATTGTTCTGTTTGCTGGTTACGTTGTTCATGGTTTCCCATGTTTGTTGCATTGTTTTGTCACCGGGTGCAGATATTAACCAATATTCGGCCATTGTAAAATCTTGTTTTGGTTGTTTCTTTGTTTTTTTTTTTAACAAATCGGCTGTTTCAGTTGCTTTTTAAATTGTTGGCTCCACAGAACAGTGCGTGTGTGTCGTCGCGAATCGATGTTGCTTGAATTTGGCTCTATTATTGGCAAACAATATTACGCCTAAAAATAAAAAATGTTCAGAGATTCCTTTTGTTTCGTAAACCAAAAATGAAACAAAACCATCTAGAAAACTAAATCTTCGATTTGATGAACAGCACACAGTTGTCTCAATATTTTTTACCGTTGTTTTTAAATCTCTAATTTATTTCGTTTTCTAATTTTTTTGGCATTTGCTTATCTTAACTAGCAAATGGACTTGTTCTTTTCGATTTAAGTTCAATACGTTTTATTTAGAATTAAGAATTTCTTATAATTGAATTCTGGCACAAACAAACTCACACAATTTGAATCGAGGAAAAAATTGATTTTAATTGCGATTTAAATATTTTACACTATGGTGAATGTGAGTTATTTTTTTATAAACCGGAAACGAATGAAGCAAAAAAATAAATAAATTCTAAAGAATAAAACTAATAAGAATAATTTTTCGCTGGGAAATCAACGATGAACAAAACAAAAATGGGGACAAAAATACAAACGACGATAACGACGATCGAATTGGAAAATCACCGTACAGCACACATTTTCACCAATTTATCACAATCATTAAAATTGATTTTCTTGGAAATTAGTTGGACCGATTGGGGAAGCAAACATATCAACTCCATGTTTAAAACGTGGTATAAAATGTTGTTCATACGAAGTAGGAACAATAGTCAAGTAATAGCGATATTTTTGAACTTTTCCACGCACAAAAACGCCCGATTCCCACGAACACATTAAATTTAAATTTCGTTTTTTTTTTATGTTTTCTTCGATTCCCGAATGGAAAATGCTTCTTATGATGATGACACAAGCACGCACAAATCGACCAAAAATTTTTCTTTTTGTTCGAACGTATTTTGAAAATAATAAAAAGAAGTACTAAAATTAAATAAAGAAAATGAACGAAAAAATCATTAAAATAACTGAATTTCGAATGTAATTCGTAAAATAAATGAAAATCGTTAAAATCGCTCGGTCGATTGAGTATTTTATTTTTATTGCCGGGATGGAGAAAATCCGTTTGCGCTTGATTTTATAACAACAAAAAAAAGAATTCTTTTTATTATAAGATAATTATTTCTGGCGTTTATTTTTATATTCAAAATTTCGAAGCAAAGTGTGGTGTGTAAATTGAATAAGTCGTAAATTTATTATTATTGGTTAATTTGAAATTTTCTGTTTGTTTCGATTGAAATCGAAAACAGAAATGTAGAGCGAGTGATAGAACATTGGTTCCGAAGAATTCAACCGATGCGAATAACATCATACACTCGACTGAATCGAAACCATGCGACTAACAATTGTCGACTGTTAACACGCTCGGTATGTGTGTGTCTCAATCTTTGTGTGTTTGTATGTGTCAATACACTCTCAAAGACTGTACATGAGTTGGCCCAATACCGTCAGCGGTTATTGCAATCCAGCTGTTTTGTTCCGTGAAATGGATAGAATAATTGTGCTTCGATGTGGCGTTGGACAAACTCCAAGTTGTCGTACAAACATAAGCACAATACCAACTTTTTTTTATGGAATGAAAAAAGAGTTTTCCACGTGCGCACTATTTCAACTCCACAACAAAGTAAAGAAACACATCATCACAATCATAATCACACACAAAATCGTATTGTTATTTATTTAATATTCGTTCGAAGTGAAAAGGCTATCGATTGAAATAGAATGGTGAATGGATGTTGTTTATGATAGTGTGTACTCACAATTGTTTTCTTTTTGTTTGATGAAGAAAAAAAACGTAACTGAACGTTTTTCTTTTATAATTCATTTTTAGAATGCGTGTGTTTGCAATCTCGTTACGATTTCAAACGAGCGCGTAACAATGGGGAAAAAAAATTGAGGTAGCCGACGTTAATGTCATGATAACAAGCATTTGACAGGGACGCGCCTGTCATAATTCTGTCTTTCAATTCAATATTACAGTATTCAATCATGTCTCATGATGGTTGATGACCATTTCCGCGCATAAATGTTATCATCTAGCTACTAGTAACGACACATAGTCTATTCTCATCTGTTAATGTGTTTCTGATTCTTGTTTAATATTCAGATAAAATTGAAGGGGTGCATTCAAGCGAAAAAAATTCGACTCAAAATTCAAGAAAGCGGAAAATACGTCAGCCGGCGTATCTAGATTTTGTTAAGGATTTCCCATTCTTTTATTTTCTTCAATGATTATGCCTCGACGTCAAAATGTCAAACATGAAATCATGCATGATTCACTCATACAACGGGGCCCGTTGCGTGAGCTATCCGATTTATTTGTGGCAGCCACCTCTTTTTTATAGCGTCGCCGAAATATTTCGGCAAGATCAAATTAATCAATTTAGTTATCTTGGGCATAATTCGTCTCTTTTTTTGGTTATTGTGGTCTCCAAAAACACATATTGTGTTACGTTATCCTTTCGCACAAAATTCCATAGATTGATTATGTAGCCATGATTTTAGGTATTTGATCTAATATTTGCCAACGATAAATTACATTGCAATTCAAATTTGAACAAGGTTTAATCATTTGACGGTGCACCGAGAGACCGCGTGACTTGTTTTCATAACAAATATACAGGCTTCAATTGTTGTCAAAAGGTCAACGAAAATCAATGGTTTGCGCCATACACTGTCTTGAATCCCTTGTGGTACAGAAATAAAAACGGATCAGACGAAAAACCGCTAAAATTTCTAACGAAATCAATTCCTTAATGAATCGTTAACATTATGGTCGAATGATGGAGAGGTTTTTAACGACATTCATTATTTGAACGGGACACATCATTTTCGACACATTATGTCTTTTCCACTGGACGGCATTCACATGCACACACATACATTTTCCACATAATATTTGATTTTGATGGGCATTTTTTCGTCTGAAATGCACAAAAAATGTTTGTTAAATTTAATTATATGTCGAGTGCAATTTGAAGTTCGAAAAAAGGTTTACATACCCAAAAATTTGAATTTCAATGAAATTCCGTGGATAAATCATCAAATTAACATGTTAGTTACAAAGAAAAATCGAAAAATCGTGCAATAAGAGTAAAACTAGAAGTCCCATTGAATTCAATTGGAAATTTAATTGAATTCCAATTTCAAATATCCAACACTGGATTGAAGTCAGCTGTTTTACTCACTGGTCACATGACATTTGCAATGGTGAAAAATGATACTGTGTTTTGGTACAACCAATGAATCTCGTGAATATCATGTGGTTTAAATCGAAACGTTTTGCACGGATTATGGAGATAAATCACCTGTTTTTACAATTGCATTAAATTAATCGAACATTTTCAGTGCATTTTGTTTTTTTTTTTTCTGTTCTGATGTTGTTTTGTGAGTCTTGTGATGCCATCCATATATGTAAAACATATCGTAGTATATGTGTGTGTTGTGTTTTTTTTTCTCTGTAGTTCTCTCTCCGTTCGGCCAATGTCGACGTTAAATTTCGTGATTTTTTTTTATTTTGCGATTTAAATTGCATTGCAAATTGTACAATCGAATAAACATTCATGATTGAAAAATAGAAAATTTGGCAGATTCTTCATTTTGTACGCAGGATCAAACAATCAAACACACAAATGTATGCATATCATACATGACATTTTTTCGCTCGTTCGTTCATTCTCTATGAGAAACATTATTATTTTTTTCTTAATCACAAGTTCATTTTTTTTTCTTTCGTATTGTGTCCATCCTTGTCTTGGCCATTGCACTGCCATTGAAACACGAAAAGAGAACGATATACAAGACTAAACCAATAAAATAAAATCTGTGTGCTGTCAAACAGAAGTTTTAGTTTCAATGCATTGATTTAGTCCCATGATTCAAATTGAAAAAAAAGTTCCCTTTAGCTTTTTAACTTTTCTTTTTATTTCTATGCACATAAAACACTGAAAATATTCGTAACAAATTTTCTACGATACGATATTTGGAAACAAATTTGCTTACGGTTTTTAAAGGTTGGATTTTTTGAGCGAAAATAAAAACACTGGCTATTTTCGACGAGGAAAACTGATTGGAATTTCTTTGAGTTGTTGGTCTCCTGATTTGCACGAGAACGACAATTTACACATACAACGTATTCACACTCAAAGTGGTGTTGTTTTTTTTCTCTTCTATCAATGCTTACACAGTAAATTCACCATTTGTGTCACATGACATTTAATATCATTGTAGAAAATTCAACAAATTTACCATATTTTACGGTAGACGGCATTGCCTTCATCGCATATCAAACGTACACATAAAAACATATAGATGGCGTAAGCAATCAAATACATGCTCATTCAAACATTCAAACAAATCGAAATTTAATTAATTTTTGAAATGTTTTCCGCCATGTAGACTGATCGGATTTTGTTGATTGTAATTCTCGTGATGGGTGTGTGTTGTCCAATGTTATGGCTTTTGTTTACAATCTCTTTTTTTTTCGAATTCATTGGTCAATGTCCTTGTCTTACCAACTGATTTAATATTTGGAGCACAGTCCGTTGTGCTCACAAAGAAGACGTTTTTGCTTATAAATGGGAATTGACGTGCTATTGTCCCGTGTTTTGAATAGAAGGAGAGACTAACGCCAAGGACAATGACCCACTAACACTGATAGCATACCATTTAACCGACTATGGCCGATGCCATTGACATTATTCACACTGGATGTTTTGATTCTTTTTGTTTCGTTTGCAGCTTATGCACGTACATAAGTTGATTGTATGAGCTGTATTATAAGTGATTGCAAACATATACATTTTATGTCACATCATTGTATTGAAATCAAAAAAAAAAAATCTGCAAACTGTGTATGTTTGACAGTTAGTCGGCAAAATTTCATAAACACATATAAGAATCGAAAGCATATTTTCTGTCGATAGATTTAGTCTAAACTAGTTTTCAGCACTCAAGCATCATTCTAACCGTAAATTGATTTTGGTCATAAAATTGTGTGTTTAAAGATTTTATTAAGTAGACGATATGCAAAATAAACCTGTGTATAAAAAACAGTCATGCAAAATTCCTGCTGATAAATTCATCGGAAATCGCATTTCTGGAATTGGTGTTAGTGAATTGTGTACACTCTTTGCGTTTGAGGTTGATGCACAGCAAGAAATTTGTTGAAACTTGTTTTGGTTCGACATTCGATAAAAATAAAAACGAACTATAATAACAACAGCAATAACAAGACTGTTACTAACACGTGGTGCGGATGAGGATTTTTTTTCTTTGTGCCCAATTGGAAAAATGAGATACACGTTCGGCGTGTGTATGTTGTTTTTTTTTTTTTTTTTTTAAATATTAATTGACGAAAAAAAAAACCTGTCTTCATTTTACGATGATTATATTATATAAATCAATTGGTCGATATGATAAAAAGTTGAGAGGAAAACATATTGAGAGAACGGACGAAAAAAAATAAAATGTGGAATATAAATACCGAAATTCTAATCAGTTAAGTGGATGAAATGTAGCTACTTGACATCATAATCATACACATTGTATAATAAAACAGAATATAGAATGGGCAATCACGGCGAGAACAGAACGGTCGCTACGAAAGAGAAATGAAGATAGATAAAATAATGTCGTTCACTCTATAAAATGGAATCGACTTCATATTGTTTATTTAATTACAATTAGTCGACGTCTGTGATAGAACGGCGACGCGTGTCCAAGAGTACAGAACAATAACTAACGCATTGTGTGTTTTTTTTGTATTTTTTTTCGTTTTTGGTTAGAGTATTTTGTGGTTCATTGTCACGGTTAGAAATAGAAATGTGGAGTACGATTTATATTGGTTTGGCAATTATTTGCCTGCAGTACAGCAATGTCAATGCACTGGATAACGGTCTAGCGTTACGTCCGCCAATGGGATGGATGAGCTGGCAACGCTATAGATGTATCACCGACTGTGATACATATCCAGATGAATGCATCAGGTAATTTTACAATCAAACTACAAAGAGAGAGATGTCGATGTCAATTGTAGTTGATGGCAAACATAAAACATTCATTTAACGCTATTGTATGCGTTTCAATTAGTGAATGGCTGTTCAAAAATGCAACTGATCGCATTGTTGAGGATGGTTACAAGAAGGCTGGCTACAAATATGTTATAATTGATGATTGTTGGATGGAAATGGAAAGAGATCCAAACACCAAAGAGCTTGTACCCGATCGAAAACGTTTTCCCAGCGGAATGAAAGCTTTGGCCGATTATGTGAGCACATTTTACACAATATTTATTTTAGTGATTGAAAATCTACACATTGTTTATTATTTATAAGTGAAATTCATTTGAACAAAAGAAAATATTATCAAAAAGAGAGCGACTTAGTGCAATTAAATGTAAAATAGCTAATCAAGTGTTCAATTTCAAATAGGTTCATTCAAAAGGTTTGAAATTTGGAATTTATGAAGATTATGGCACGCACACGTGCATGGGATATCCTGGCGTCATCAATCACATGGAATTGGATGCAAAAACATTCGCCAAATGGGATGTTGATTATGTCAAATTGGATGGATGTTACGCTGATATTCATGACATGGACAAGGGATATCCAGAGTTTGGACGATTATTGAATGCAACAGGACGCCCCATGGTGTACAGTTGCAGTTGGCCGGTTTATCAAGAAGAGAAAGGTCTTATGGTATGTAACCAATTATTATTTTAGGGAAATAGGTCTATTTCACACTTTTCTACATTTCCATTATTTTTCATGATTCTTTTTTAATGGTTAGTATATATGGTAACTTTCTTTGCTGTTTTTTTTGTTATTCCATTCTCAGCCCAACTATGAAGCGTTGAAAAAACATTGTAACTTATGGCGAAACTGGGATGATATTCAAGATTCGTATGAATCACTCAACAAAATCAGTGATTATTTTGCAGTGAATGCATCACGAATTCAACCGCATGCCGGGCCTGGACATTGGAACGATCCCGATATGGTAAGTTTGAATTAAAATTGACATTTAATATTTGAATTATCTTTTTCTATTTCGAAAGTAATTTCACATGAAATATTACAATTCATTTAATTTTTGATAGTTACTCATCGGAAACTACGGACTAACGGTGGACCAAAGTGAATCACAGATGGCAATTTGGGCAATTTTAGCTGCACCACTTTTAATGTCAAATGATTTGAAGAATATTCGACCCGAATTTCGTGAAATTCTTATTAATCCACAAGTGATTGCAGTGAATCAAGATGAACTGGGTATTCAAGGAAAACGGCTCAAGGTTGAACGAAAAATTGAGGTAAATTATCCGAATATATTTTTTTTACTTTTAAAATCATTTGAAAATGAAAGCCAATTCGATCATGTTGAAGTCAACATTTGATTTGAATATATTTGATATAATTTCAACGTATTTGTTTTCTTTTTCTGCGAATTGTTTCCATGCAGACGTGGGTCAGACCGATAACACCAGTTGTAAATGGATTGCATTCGTATGCTGTTGCTTGGGCTAGTAAACGTGATGATGGTTCACCATATGCAACAAAAGTTAAATTAAGTGATTTAGGATTAACAAGTGCTAAAGGCTATAAAATTACGGTAAGTGATCGCACAGAAATGGTTGAAGGTCTAATAAATAAACGTTTTAAATTAATTCCAATCACATAGGATTTGTTTAATGAAGAGAATGTGCTCAACGATGTTTACAATGTAAATCACAATATTTCGATTCGAATCAATCCATCAGGTGAGAAAGCCTTCAAAGTTCTTTGTTTTTATGAATAATTAAATTTCCTTGTTTATCTTTCGCAGGTGTTATTTTCTATAAATTCACACCAGCCGAATAACGGAAAAACAAATACAATTTACTTCAATTGTTTTAGATAAAAAAAGACTTTCTTCAATTGTTTGTTCATTGCATGTATTATGTCACATTAAAATGATTTTTTTTATTAAATTTAAAATGAAACAAAAAACAAATCTTGACTTTTTCTTTGATTAATTGGAGTTTTTTTTTTTACTTAAAATACATTATCAATGTATATTCAAGTGCGTAGAATGTTCTATTTTTGCAAAGTATTGATAATGGTCTATTTGCAAGCAAACACTTGAACTTGTGATAAACAATTCACATTCGTGATTCTCTCAATGAATCGGTAGTGACATCTATTGGCATTGTTTTGAACTGAATATTCGTCTGCTTGCTGTCTACGAAAGCTTTGGCTTCGGATTTATTTTTATTCTTATCGTTGTTATTTTAATCGATTTCGCCAAAATTCACATAGGAAAATTTGATGGTCTAGAGCGGAAGTCAATTACATTTATTCGAAAACTAAAATCTATAGCAAATCATTAATCTTAATGCTTCCAGAAAATCATGCATGTATTCCTTCTGAAAAGGTACTGATTTGCCAAAACAGAAGCTAAGCTATCCAAATACTTGAGGAAAACACGGAACAGATTCAAACTGGACAAAAAACGAAAAAAAAGTCTTTCCAATAACAGTAATGACACGCCCACATTCAATCGGACGTATCAAAATATCTTTAATATCATGTGAGGGGTTCCGAGGAAAAATGTTACGTAGAAAAGTTCCGCGGAAAAATGTTCGGGAGCTAAATGATATCATTTAGCAAAGCTAATTGGTGCCAAATAGCCTAACTTATTGATACCAAATAGTTTTAGTTGAGCTATTTGGTACCAATTAGCTTTGCTAAATGATATCATTTAGCTCCCGAACATTTTTCCGCGGAACTTTTCTACGTAACATTTTTCCTCGGAACCCCTCATGTATTATGCCAAAACATCCAGTTTACATACCAATATCATAACTTGTGACTATTTCAATTAAAGCTTTTGAGACCTATTTTACAGAAGAGATCAGGCATTTTCAAGGAAATTCAATCCTATGTTATTATAAATGTCACCACCATCAAATCATTTTCGACGGTTTTATGTTAAGAAATGTGTGACATTGATTGCCGTTGCCGTTTTGCATTTACTGTTCTAAAATAAGCGTATTTCGATCAAAATATTCTCGTAATAGTAATTAAATTGCCAAGTTATCCACTGCAGTGACAGAAAATCGGAAAATCTTGACGACCATAAACTGTAATTTTCGGTGCATATAACCTACACTGGAATTAATACACTGCCTTGTTTCGCTATTATAAAAGATCGAAAATCTAAATGAATTGAGTCAGTCGTAAAGCATAATAGGAACCGTTATTTTTCTTAAAAGAGTTGAAAACGTCCCTTGAATTATTCTTAAGAGTTTGTTTAATAACATTGAAAATCCATGGAGCCGTTGCAATTGAATCGTGAACTTTTCACATATATTTACGCTTGTTCGCCACCAAAAAACACGACATCGTTAGTCAAACTACGTCGTCATATAATTGTCATAATAATGATAATTCTGTTGATGTTTGGTTGGATTTCAAGTGTTGTTTTCATCATCAAGTATGTGAAGGTCGATTTGCGAAATGCATTGTATGCAATATTTCAAATCGCCGCGGAGTTTACTGCATGGTACACGCTTCTCACAGCATACCTTCAACCGGGTTCAACTTTGATTGTTTTTCTCAAATTGAAACACATTCGAAAAAATTGTAATGTGGGCAAGCATTTCAACTTTTGATTAATTTCTATTCAAACATGATTCTTCTTCTTTCATGCCAAAGTGATCGATTACGGAAAAGGGTTTGCCAAATGTTTCGAATCAGCTGACGACATTTGTTATAAACTGACAAAGGCAATGGTACAAACATTCCTCATTGCATATATAATCATTTCGATCATACAAGGTATTCTAAACACAATGTATTGCTATCGTCGTGACAGTCGCATAGACCCTCAATGTTTATTTACACCATACAAATTTTCGTGAGTTATGCTTTGCGTCAGCACAGTATCAGATATGAAAAAAAAAATCAATTGATTTTATTATTATTAAAGTTCACCATGGAACCAACAGACTTTGGAAGGACGGTGGTTTACGATTGTATTTTGTGCATTACAGGCGATTATCTTTGTTTACGTCACAACGTCATTTTTGTCCTTTTTCATATCGATTAGTTTGCAGTTTAACGCATTTCGAATATATTTGAAAGGTCTCATTGATGAATTGAGCATTGCAATTGATCAAACTGGCACCAATAACGATTTTCAATCGATGCTATCTAACTTAATTCACTTCCATGTGAATGTTAAAGAGTGAGGAATTTTCGACAAATGAATCGACTTTTTAACAAATCTACACATTTTTTCTAGACTTTTCTGGAGTGCGGCTGAGGTTTTCAATCGATACACATTTGTCCAAGTTATTTTGGCGGTTGTATTTATGTCGTCAAATATTATGAACATGGATTTGGTTTGTGAACCTATTATCAAACAAAGCAGAAACACTCAGACAAATTTATATCAATATTTTTTTTTCAGTCGATCAATGATCCGGGTCCAGATATTGGTAATTATATAGAAATCATTTGCTACTAGCTAATAGAATAATTTATACTATTTATCATAGGTATGATTCTCTACAGCTCTAGTGTAGGCTTTGGGAATTTGTATATGTATTGTCATTTTGGTGACTATACTACCCGAAAATTTGAAAAATTTCCGAAATACTATTTTCAATCGAATTGGTATCTTCTGCCGGTCAATTTGCAAAAGTAATTTTCCAATCCAAATCAAGTGAAACCATAACTATAGTATATTGATTGCTATTAAACTATTTTTCTATTAATTTTCGATGCACGCGACTAAATCCACTTCTATTTGTATACAAGATACTTCATTTTGATGATTTCAAACAGTAATATACCGATGACCTACGATGGATTCCAACTCATCTCTCTCAATCTTGAAACTTTTTTGAAAGTATTAAAATAAAACGATGTTTTTATCACATGAATGAAACACACCTCATTTTACCCGTTGAAAATTGGATGCATTGCACAAATGAATCATACACGGAAATGAAATCATGAATAGTGTATTATTATTTTTCATTTCATTGACATCGATTTCATGTGTTTCAGTTTTTTTTTAAATTTGATTTGTATACTCATTTATTGATCGATTCGATTTCTTTCAGATACTTAAGACAGCCGCATCTTATTATCTGGTACTAAAAGCAGCCGCTTTTGAATAATCTCGAGTATTAGGAAAAAGCATCATTAGATGAAGACAGATTTTTAATTGAAAAGTGTCTTATCAAAAAAATAGCATAAATTCTTATTTTTACGTTGAATTTAGATATTCATTTAATCTAAATATGTTTAATTTTCTTTGGTCTTACGAATGTTGAGCGAATATATTTTTAAATTTCTAATTGGTTATTTCATGCTTATGATTTTTGAATGTTTTTCACTTAAAACCTGATGAAAAAAACATGTAAAGATTTCGAAATACCCATTAACTTAATGGCATTAAGTTATCTGTTAAGTTATTAATGAATACATTCTTGACAAAAAATAATAATAATAATAATAATAACAATCATAATAATTGTAGACAAAACAATTTCGCTCATATTTTAATTATTTCTTCGTATTAATGACCTACTATGTTTTATTACAAAGTTCAAAGTATTCAAAATTCATTTGCTTGGGGTTTCTCACAAAAAGAAAAACATGTATTAAGAATGACAATTTACGTGGAATTTCAAAACGAGTTATGGTTATCGAAACGATAAAATCGCTGAAAAATAGAAGAAAATAAAGCAAAACATTGCACGACTTTACACATCAGACTATTTTATTACTTTATTTAAATTGCAAAATGACACTTTAAAGATAGGAGGCAAGCAAATGTGGCCCTATGTCATAGATCTTGACGGTTTGATTATGCATCGACTTGAAAATCAATATTTAAATTATTTTCCACAAATGTTAAAAAATATTGTTTTCGACACATCATATGACCTTAAAACTGGCCTCTTTTTACATATTGATACAATAGAAGCGAAACCGATTTCTTCGAAAGAAGTGAAAAAAAAAATGTTGTAAGACTTCATATTGATATTAGAGTTGATGGTTATCTGCTATTTGTTTCGATGTATACATTTTGAATATCGAATGCGTAAATAAAAAAAAAACGTCGGACACATACACGATGCGATTACACTATTAAAGTGATAGAAAGGTTCTCATTGGATTTTCAAATACGTTGATGCATTTCAAAACATCGATTAGGGTATCGATCAATATTTTGTATTTAAAATCCAAAGTGTTGCATGACGTCAGAAAATATTCAACATTTTAATTTCTTCTTTTGTAAATATTCAAACAAATCACTTGAAATTGCTTATATCACACCACTCTGTGAATATACACTATACATAGATCACATTTTTAGTTTACTGACGAAAAACAGACGCACAACTCAAACAAAAAAATGGAATTTTAATTCAATTTCAGTGTATTTTAGCTTTCTGTTCATATCGTTTGGCCATTTTTTTTTCAAATGCGTTCCCATTTCTGCTATTTTCAACAACAGAAATCAATACATTTTTGCAGGCCATATACTGAGCATAGATATTTATCCGAGATATTTTGTGAGAATCCGATAATTAACGCAGCAGTCCATGAATTATTGCTCCTTCTAAAAGAAGTGTGTGTGAGACTCGAATTGGCGTGTGCAACTTAAACACAACACGATGGAAGGGGTAATAATGTCGCAGACAAACGAGGAAAACAATGAGTTAGTGTGTAAGCATGAACGTCGATCTGTGCATTATTACTCCTTCAAACGAATTGTGTTTAAGTCAAACACGTCGATTTAAGTCTTGTACACACACAGTTCGTTTAGAAGGAGCAATAATGCATGGAGTGATGCGTTAACTATCGGATACTCACAAAATATCTCGGATAAATATCTATGCTCAGTATATGGTCTGAATTTTTGTAAAAAATGACTTTTGATGAATTCATTATGAAATAGCTCATGTAATAAAAGAGTGCAATGAATGGACTTCGATTCATACAGTGCGTATCTATAGAGGGCTTCCGTATTCAAAAACCAATATAATTTCTTTTTGTTATTCATTTTTCATGCATCGAATAGACTTACCTAAACGTTGATTTGTAAGACTTACCTAAACGTTTTGCGAATAAAATATATTATGTTCGGGTTGTTCGTAAGCGCAAATATTTACAAACCTTTCCACACATTTCCTCAATGAGTGCGGGCAATTAAAAAATGCCAGCAAGTTCGTTTTTTTGTAATAGAATTGACGTAGTGTTTCCAAAACTTGCACTTTGAAATTTCAATCACCACTTACAGCTTTAATTCCAAAGAATTTGCAGAACACAAGAGAAGAGAAACATTCATACGCCCGATTCAAAATTTATTTTTTATTTCATTTCTGTTTCACTTCATTCATTATTCAATTTAGGTAATGCGATTTTGTGTACAATGGTCAATTGAATTTCAAAAAAAAAAAAATGTTCAGATTTTGATTTGAATTTAGTTTGCAATAGTACTAAAATTAGCAGATTACTAAAACAGTATCATATAATTTGCCTCTTTTATATTATTCGTTTTTATATGGCTTAGAAAGCAGTGAAAGATATTGTATTTTTTATCTTGTTCAACTGAGTAGTAAGATATTGAGTTTGTGTTTTTTTTCCTTTGATTTGTAAAGATAAAAATCGGTTCACTGGCTGATAATTATTGTCATTATTTGAATAGACGTATTGCAGTATTGAAAGTTTTACGATGTGTATTGTAATCATGTCTATTTCGTTTCTAATAAAGAATTGATTTGATGATATTTTGATGCACCACGAATGACGTTATTCATTTGCTATATTAAAAAACGCCAAGAATTGATGGCTACCTCCGTACTTAGTACGAACCGATTGTCGTAAAGACAAGTTTAGACATTTTGACTTCATGACTCAAACTTATCCTTTCATTAAAGTGACCAACGAAAGCAATAATAAAAAACGTAACAATAAAATATATTACCATTATACTGTATAATTTATACACATTAAAAAGTTGATTTGGTCGAAAGGTGTGAAAGAATGTACGTATGAAAAGAAAAGAGAAATAAAAACGATTCAACATATTGTAGATTTAAAGTGAATATGTACGTTTAAAGCTCATTAATTGACGAGGAATACTGTTTCTTTTTTCTGTTTCTATGTTTGAATATCTGAATACATGAAGGAGTGGTCGTTTACAGTGAGTTTACAAAAAAAAATGTTTGTATTTTTATCGGACAATATGTGGCACGTGATTTCATGAAATATTGGAATTCATAGCGACCTGAAATTCATCTTCTTTCAATAAATAATTCCAAAAATTTGTTCAACTATTTCATTATAAATCTATTTATTTATACAAATCAGGCGCATACGTTCGAATGAAACATACATGAGCGTTGCTATTTTTTTATTATAATTTGTCTCTTTTTCTATTATTTCGGAATAAATATCTGCGGTTGACATCTTCTCTGAAGATCAACGTGTGTATGTCTAATTCGTTTTTTTACAATAATTTTGTTTTTTAATTTTCTATGTTAATATATATTATTTTGTCTTTTTATACTCTTTGATTTTTATTCTTTTTTTCTCATATAATCTTATAGACTTTTACTTTGAAACTTATTAACCAAAGTGCGCTAGCTGTTGTACAAAAAATGTTGTCTGAATTATCCATTTTGTTTGAATCAAATTTCTATTTAGATATATTTTTTTCTCATTCGTTTTGTGTGTATGTGTGTCTTTAAATTTTAATTTTCTCTACATATCGAGTCGGTACAAGTTAAATATTAATTTATTTATTGCAAAAGAAAAGAGAAACGATTTAATTAAATAGTGTATAATTTTTTTTTCTTGTCTTCATGCTCAGTATTGTAATTTGAATGAATTTTGAAGATATAGAAATTAAGAGCGCAAAATAAAAATAGTTAGTAGTTCTGCTTAAAACAAAAAAGCATGAGGCCTCTTCGATATTTAATTTTGTGTGTGTGTGTGTGTGTTATTTACAGATCAGTTGGTACACGGTCATATACACGTCGATGCATTTCGTCAATCGATTTGAGGTAGAATGTGCCGGGGAATAGGACATCGACACGTCCGCTCGGTACATATGGTGCGGCATGATTGTTTTTTTCGCGAATCTCCATCAAACGGGTAAATTCTTCTGGTGCTAATTTTTGTCGTTGTTCCAACAGCGGTTTTATATGGGCCAATTTATCGGTGACTGTGCGCAATTGGCTTTCATTATCACTGAGCGAAATTGAATATAATGATGATGCCAAACCAGAACCATATGAAAATAAGGCAACATTTTTACCAGCCAATTCGCTGGCATCACCACTAATCAAATACGATACGAGTCCCGAATACACAGACGGTGTGTACATGTTACCAACCTGATTGGCTAGCAATAGTGATGGTTTTGTTTTTGTTTCAAACACTTCTTTGTAGTATGTCATAAATGCTTTTTCAACATCACGATCAAAATACGTGTCTTCCAATTTAAGTTCATCAAAACGTTCAAAACCTGGATACAATGTGTCCCGTTTGGCCGGTGATGTTTGCAAAAAATCATTGAAACCCAAACGGGCCAATGATTTTTGAACGAGTTTACAGAATGGTGTATGGAATAAAATTGCATCAAATGAATTCAATGAGATGGCGGTCGGTGCGTTTGGATTAAGTTTATCGTATTTTTCGCGATACAATTGATAGCATTTATCGAGTGCGCTTAGGTAACATTTAATGGATAATGTTCCGTCAACGGTTGGATATTCGGAGCTTAAATCTGGCTTATAAAAATCATAAGCGTGTTTCATGTATGAAGCACGAAGGCCACGATCAAAGACAATTGGTGCATTTGGTCCGATCAGCATTGCAACAGCACCAGCACCGCCAGTTGGACGTGCCGAACCTTTGGCATAAACGGCAATATCACCACATACAACTAATGCAAAACGTCCATCCCAACTGCTCGATTCAATCCAATTGATGGCATTGAACAATGCGGCCGTACCGCCATAGCATGCATTCGTTGTATCGATACCTTCTAAATCGGTCACACCATGAGGTTCAAATAATTCCATCAACACCGATTTTACACTTTTCGATTTATCAATGATGGTCTCGGTACCAACTTCCAAACGTCCAATTTGTGCATGTGCAATATTGTTACGTTCAAGTAATTTACTAACAACCGTTAAGCACAACGAATTGATATCTTCACGATCCGAACAAAAACCCATACGACTTTGGCCCAAACCAATCGTATATTTACCGGCCGAAACACCATCAAACACCTCCAATTCGGTTTGATCGACGAATTGCGATGGGAAAATCAGCTCAATGGCTAAAATTCCAACTTTTTCAGGCCACTTTGACATCATAATTCTTTTATTGATTCAAAACTTAACACAAAATCTGAGATTTTTTTTTTTTTTAAACGCGATTGATTTTCCTCTTTTCAAAATTGGTATGTACCTTCGGATCACCGACACAAGACTGAGTAATGTTTGCCACTTATACTTATTGTGTGTGACCAACAGCAGCGCAACGTATTTTGTTGATAATGACGACGATGAAGGCGACGATGTTGGCGATGATACGACACGAGTATGCGACTAAACGTTTATTTTGTTTCTCTCTGTCTGTCGGTCTTCGTTTGATTATGCTTCTTTCATAAGTTCAAGCAATTAACACACAAAATAAAACGAGTTTTTTTTTGTTGTTATTTTTTGATTTTGTGTGTAAATTTCACGTTTACTATATACATATGAAGAAGAAAAAACTTTCACCTTTGCCTTTGAAACTTTCTATTTACGTGGTGCAATCGGTATGTAGTATTCGTATATTGTTCACTCGTGGAATAGCTCTTCGCATAAAAAAATATTTGTACAACAGCGTGTATTTTTACTTTGAATGCTCGGTTTTTCTTTCTTTCTATTCCTTTTCTGTTATTGCTGTTGCTCGTTTATAGTAGTTTTAGTTTATGGTTAATGCTTTTTTACTTGGGTTGCTTAGATATATATATGTTTGTGTGTGTGTGTGAGATACACGCAATAAACTTGAATTGATAAAATGATTTATTGATTATTACTTGAAGACACTTGAAGACATAAATTGACGCGTCTCTTATTTTGCGATTTAACAAAACAATAAAAACGTTTTATCGTATTTTTTAATATTTCATACAGTCAACGGCTCAAAATCAGTTGGTTATATCAATAAATCTATCTGTAAAGATACTGTTGTCACCCACGTTTGACTGCTTCGTTTTCGATACACATAAATATTACATATATATATATGTGTGTATGTTGTTGTTGTTAGTCGTGCAAAATTTCGCAATGGAATAATTAAATTAAATGATGATTTGAGCAGTAGTTTTACGACGTATACACATTTGTTGTTAATTATGGTTTCGTATTTAAGTAAAATCGGAAATGTTTTGTATAATATCAATTTTCAGTTGTGTTGATGGCAGTGTGTATGGTCGTTGATATTGTGCGTAATGATGATATTGACAATCGATTGGATATAACCAAAAATTCGAAAAATGCCGAACGGAAAAAAGTGGTGACGAAAAGAAAACCAATTGGAATTCGATCGAACAATGAAATGTGATGAAAGAAAAATGCTTTCGAAACGATCCGTACACGTTCAACTAATATTTCTGACTGATCTCATGAATAGTATGTTTAAATCACATGAACTACTTTTAATTCAACCACAACAACAGCAACAAAAATCCAACGAACGAACGTAGAAGAAGAGAAAAAATTTCTTTCGATTTTTTTTTATGTTTACCACTGCCGTATGCCTTCTTTTTCCGTCTTTCTGCTCACATTTAAATTACACACTTTAAACGCATATATTCGTTCGTTTTCGATTTCGTTCCACTCCACAATAGCTCCCTTTTCTCTGTCCCATTCACACAGTATCGTCGCCCGCTCTTTTTTTTCCCGTTTTCAATTTGTAGCTTCTTTTATTTCCGCTTTTGCTCTCTGTCTATTCGTGTCTTCGGTTTCGATTATTACTCAAATATTTACACACGACATCGATAGTTAAAATCGTGAAAAAATATAAAAAATAATCGTAAAATAAGAAAGCAAAACTCTAATAAATCTTCCGATCGTTCACTTTCTATCTCACTTGCACTAGTAGCGAACACACAAAAAAGACGACGTTGACAACAGCTTTTTCTTCTTATTATTCGACTTTTGATTTGGTGATTTGCATAACCGTATGTCTCACTTTTCAATTGGATTTTAACTGATCGTCACTGTGAGATTGATTTTCGTTTTCATTTCGTTTTCGTCTGTCTCTCATTCATTCGTATTTTTCGGTCTGTCACTTCATTGTTTTGGCTCTCACATGTATGCATTTTGCATTTTCTTTTCCGTAATCGGCGAACTCTTCCTTTTTATTTCATTCAAAATTCCGCGATGCATAGTTCACACACGCTTGAATGAAACAACAACAACAACAATGCAAAAAAAAATAATCGCGAATTTTTCTATGATTTAGTGTTCGTTTGTTCGTTTTAGTTACGTACACGTTCACATTCATGCGATTTTTTTTAAATGCCGATTGTGATTTGAACTTAGAGTCTTCGATGAAGAACATGTGTGTATGTTCATCTGTATTGCTGCAGTCACTGTTAGTTTTGTTGTTTCAGTGAAAATACGCTTTAAAATTAATTTCGCGGCCGTGGTCAATGTGCGAAATTCACAAGTCATAACACCACTTGACTGATAGACAGAATTTATAAATTTTCTCGTATCATTGAGTCACACACACGATTTAAACCGCAAAATCGTCAACATTATTTCGTGTCGATTTGTGATAACACAAGAAACAATCGGCACGAGCAAATCCAAAACACACAGAAAATCCAATTCCAAATTCCAAATGTTTTTTTTTTTAATGCATTGACACATACACACATATGCAATTACTGTTATTTAGCACATAGGAAAAATGTCAAACGCAACAAATATTCTTTGATGAAAGAGACTACAACTGTTATAAACCGATACACGTGACTGATGACATTAATTTCGATGAACAACGCCATCTGGAGAAAATGGGCAAAAATCTCATCGACGAATCGCTTCTTACTAAAGAACAAAAAAGCAGTTACTTTCCCTTGAACCATATGCCATGCTGTATGAGTTTGATTTGAATAAAATGCACATCACTTAACGCAAATACCATAATGAGAATATTTTGTACGCAACACTATGTGAACTGTGAATAAATGTGCGAATATTTTCATTCTGATTTATACGAACATTGAGTACACTGAAATGTTTTTTTTTGTTTGATTTGCACGGAAAGTGTGTTTTGTTTGGATGGCTTGTTACACGCTATGTGGATGCAGTTTTACAGACAAACCACGAAATTCATATCAAAGTACAGAATTTTATGTTGTACGACCAATTCAAAACCATTTTCCACGAACTAAAGTGCGCACAATATAACTACATCAGCCGCAGAAAATTTGGCTTATTAGCATTTTTCAATTAAAAGCTAAATTGACGTGTGGAAAACACAAAATTCATAGGTGAATGTGTGCTGAAAACACAATATGTGCAGATGTTTGCATACCATACAGATGCTATAAATTCAATGGCAACGGAAAGGGGGATGAGGGAAAAAAATTCTTTGGGCCCAGTGTGGTTTGGCTATACAAATTGTGTTGAATTTAATTATGTTTTACATTATTTGGATTCCATCAATGAAACCGGATTAATTACGGCGCGAATCGACTTGTTTATAGAAGTAACATCACATTTTTTGCCTAAAAAATTTAACTTTTCAGCGCAATGAACTCAAATCATTTGTAATGTAAATGTGTACCATTTTGAAGTGAATCAGTAAGAAAGGGGGTGTACAACAGACAAAATGGCAAAAGAATAAACGATGCAAAAAGAAAAGTGATTACAATTGAAAGTTGTTGATTTTCTTTTCAATTAAATCCAATTGATGGCGTTTATATTTTCTTGTCACATAGAGATTCGAAGCAAGCGGTAATTCATCATTTGAACAAATAAATTGTGTAAAAAGATTGAACATGAATGGTGGCTTATACACAATTTATGACAGGGGATTGTCAGAAATGCTTCACCGTATTGGAGTCACTTTCGGTTGAATTAATTTCCCTCGCACAATGCTCTTCAATTGAGAGTGGCAATTCGAAATCGGCATTAGCCGATATTGATTGTGAAATGTAAACATAAATAGCACAGCAAGTACGCGCACTTTGTACCGTACGATAAATGAAAAATGTCTAGAGTCTAGACATATTTGGAACAGCACACAGCAACAGAAGAGTGTGTGTGTGTGTGTGTGTGTGTGTGTGTGTGTGAGGGAACGTTTCAATTTATTAAAAGCGGAAACAAACAATTTGACTCATTGATGAATATTCGTTGGATATTTGAGGCTGCTAAATGCACAGAAGTGTGAACATTAAGCCTCTAAAATTGCATCAACCATCATTCTTTTTCTTTCACCCTTGTCATACTCTTTCCAAGGGGGTAGACACGAATTATAAAACTTTGAATCATGTGAATCACAGTGAATCAAATGAATCATTCAAATGTCAAATAAGCATCACTTTTGGTTTTACTAACATGATCGTTCAACAAATTCTAAATATTATCGTTGATTTTATTTGGAATTTACTAGAAAAACACGAAATAGATAAAAAAAAAATGAGTTAATACATTTAAAAAAACGTCAAGAAATCATTTTTTCGAAGACAAATAATTTTAATTTATCAATAAATATTTCTTTCATGACACATAAGTGACATTTCAAATGTCATCTAAACAATGTGAATCTGTTGAATCACAGTGAATCAAATGAATCATGTCTACCCCCTAGACTCTTCCCCTGTTGAGTTTCAATGGAGAATATGATGAATACGGCAATTCATTGGAGTGCCGAGATATGGAACATTAGAAGTGGATAAACTTCAAGTTGAATGACTGTATATCAGCTCCAATAATCATTCAAAAGTTCGTTTCTTTTTCTCTTTCTCTCTGTTCGCATCAATGCCAGTGTATCAGTGCATTCAACATTCACTTATTTGCGGTAATGAAATTGTAAAGTGCAAAAATATTCAAAGCGAAAACTATAATTCACAAGCGTAATGAAAATGATTTCAGAAAAAAAGGGAAAAAACAACGGAAAAAAGAGGGAGAGAAGGAGAGAGATTGGAGGAACAAGTATAAGCGAATATGGGAGCTGCTTAAGAGAAAGCCGATTGAAAGTAAATTGGGTGATAGAGACAGACAGACGCAGAGATAGAGAGAGAGAGAGAGAAAGAGGGAATATGGAAGGGTGGAGATTTGAATTAAATGCCTGATAACAGTATATGGAACAGAAATCAATGTCAAAGCTGAAGACCAAATTACCAAGACTTCAGTTGGAGTCTGCATTAAAAATGTTTGTTGTTATTGTTGTTGAAAGTGTTCCGGAATTCTCTTGTCTGCAATTTTTTTTGGTACAGGTGCTCACCATTTACTCAAGCAATTTCGTTTACGTGTTCTTCTTTCGAAATTTATGGCATGTGTGACGATGACAAATAAATCATGGCAAAATATGGCGAATCCAAACGCACAGACTACACTGTGTATAAGATAGAGAATATTTTTCTGTTTGTTTTCTGATTGTCCTTCGTTTTCCGCTCTTCCGTTCCAACAATCCTTCATAGCCAACCTTCCCCCTTCGAAAAGTATATCGTCATCTTAACCCGAATTAATGTACTATTTCCTTGGTCTAGATGCTGTATGTTTTACTTGTTTCATCGTGCACCTCTGATGAGAGGCGTTTTGGGGTGAAAACACATCTGAGCACTGAAATGACAACATTGAATTTGTTTGCAGTTGAAATTTGAACAACACGTGTGTGTGGTTAAGTTACATACTTATAATGGAAAAAAGAGGAATAGTAGACAGAGATTCTATGCAGTTACCTCTTGACGAATGCTGCTCTTCTTTATTGTTGAGTATCTTGATTTATTCGTTCAGCTTTCAGCTATATATTTCCTTATTTACTATTCCTAGACACACACGAAGAAGCGCATATACATTTTCATAATATATTCGATAGATAGAAATTTGGACTTTCCCACCAAAGCAGCTAATTGCTCCAAATAAATCAACGTGAAACGATAAATAAATGTTGAAGTGAATAAAAGAAGAGACGAGAAAATGTGCGGCGTACGTAAAAAGTTTTTCATCGATAATACGCCAATTCGGTAAAAAAAAATGATAAAATGATCATCCCAGCCGGTGTATATTTGTATGAGATTGGAGACTTTTTTTTGCGAATCTCGCTAATGAGCGCCATCTGATTTTAGTGTGAATTAGATGCAAAAACTGAATTTAATTCTGTAGCATTGAAATGAAAAAGTGAAAAAACAACAACAATAGCACGGCCACACAGAGCTGTACATCTATGCGTGCTGATGCATACATACACATATACGCTTTCTTCATTCTTTCATTCCATTGCTATACGTATCTCACTGGTCAACAGATCTATGTAGCCATGTTACTGTTGTTGTTTTTTTTCTCTTTTTCGATTCAATTCATTGTAACTAAATTGAGTTCAACTATGGAATACAAGATGGCACAGATGAGGGGAATTCGCATTTTGTCTCTTCATAGGCTTAACCGGTTGGATCATCCCGAATGCACGATGACGTCATTAATTAATCGAGACATGTATCACTTGATGCTGAAACATACATACAAACGACATTGTATGATCGAGTACACGCACACCCAAAATATTCCATTGCTCGTGTAAATGTTTGCAACTTTTCGAAATTTCACAAATTATAATTACCACGTTGTTCCATTGTATTATTTGCCAGCAGAACCGACATTCTAGGATCTCTCCATTTTTTTAAAAAGTGATTCACAGGTAGAACGAAAAATCAGTCATGCAACTTTTTTGCTCATCAAAATATTAAATTCCATGGTACAGAATACAACCATAGCACAAATAATGGAATTGCATTTGTAGTTAAGTTGAATTTATTTTTTTGTTGTGGCCCAACACATAGATCTCATTCAAAATGCACACTCGATGGCAGCATGCAAAGTATATATATCATCAGATAGAGAAAACCTTGTATATTCATGATACCATTGAAAAGGTAAAATTCAATGCACGTGAGAAGTAGAGAAAGAAATGACAACATACTGAAAACAAATGAGACAACACATACTCAGTGAATAGTTAGATGCAAAAGTGTTTACAACTAATAACTTCAGTAACCGATCAGCGTTTGTTATGCGGTGCGCTGACGATTTGTTTGCATCAGATATTTCTCTTTGATTTCAGCATAGCTTCTGGCGTCTAGATTTTAAGAAAAATGTTGAGGGGTCATTTGAGGACCCGACCTCTGCTCAGACGCTATGGATGATGGCGTCACTTAATCATTATGCGTTCTATTACAATTTACTTTCGGCACTCGTCCAATTTTTAAAGAATCTGTTCAATTGTACGCGATTTGATGTACGCACGTCGCAAAAAAATTGGTCAGCACGTGGTGATTAGTCGCAAATGTTATTGATTGCTAACACGTTAGCATTTAACGATTCACTGCGATATACTCAAGCACGCATTTGTACACGTATCAATAAATTCGTAATAACAAACTTTTCGCAATATGTTTTGCATACATTGTGCTAGCGACAAAGTCGAACATGTATCGTTTTTCTGTTTATACAATTCGTAATTCGTTTTGCATTGATTTTCATCCTTACAAATTGCATTTGCAAAGCTTCAGTCTCAAAATGCATTCCTTTTAGTGTTCTCTATATGTTCACTCTCGTACTCCATTATGCACCTTCTCTTCGTCTTCTTCACGTTGATTTGGTTGTTCGACTGCATGTAACGTGCACACACTTGCTGCATATATTTTTATGATAAGCTCAAAACATTTTCGTGCAAAAATTACATGTCGATCGAAATTACTTTGAGCATGACAAATATTCGCTTATCGAACTGTGTAAAGCGTTTGTGCATTGTGTGTTTGCAATTCAAAAAAAATGACTTCGGTACACTGAGTCAGTTGAATATCCATAAATTGGAAATCATTTTGTCAATTTGTTGTTCTTATCGATAAGTTTACGACGTTGCACTCGTTCAACGGATGGATGAGCCAGTTTCAACCATTCGAAATCATCGAGTTTACAATGTTGCGTTTAATTTGGATCCATCCATTGTTGTTGTACGATTCAAACGGGAAAATCACATGGTTTTGTATATTTTAAATAAATAATACGATTTCATACGTGTATTTTTAAGCATTTTTTTTTTCAAATCAAAATCAATTTATATTAATGGATACAAAGTACCATTGCATTTGATGTGTTGAAAGCTTTTCAAATAAATTGATGCACATTTTTTTTTTTGTCTTTTTGAAACTTCTTTTGTTGTATTTTAAATATTTTTCCGAAACATAATCGATTTTCGCTGATATTCCGCTTCAAAATTCCATCCATTGCAAAATGCATAAAATTATCATTGCTGTTGAATGAAAACTTATTGACTCAAATATTCTCATCAAACATTGACTAAATACACGTATTAAACGAGAATTCATTTGATTTAGTGTATACGGTTTCATGCAATTCATTTTTCCAATCAAATTTCATCCATCCCCTCTTGCCCGCTAAAGAGACAAGGGAACTTTCAACTGGTGATTCAATGTTATCGGTAAATGTATGTTTTTTTGGCTTCTTCTATCGATTACTATTTATTTAGTGGTAAGTCAAGTACGAGATTCAGTACAAATATGCAATCGAAGCTTTTTCGGAAGTCAAATGATATTCAATCATAGATCAGAAGAATAAAAATAAATGAAAACGATTTCGTTTATTTGCTAATAAAAAATTCAAAATTAATTGACTGCTCAACAATCGGAAAGTGAATGAATAATAATCCAATTAGTAGCAATTTATTTACATTTGAACATGTTAAATTACAATTTTCGTGTAGTTCCGTTGGTATTTCTTTAAAATTTATTTTTCTATAACATCGAAAAGTAAATAATAAATGAAAATTTGAAAAATAGCAAATTTTATGCTCATGTTCAAAATACTTCCAGAAAAGTAACATGAAATAGATAACAGACGGGAAATAAATGTGAATTCGTCGTGCCATAAAACAATTTCTGTCGCTTTTGCGTTTCGTTTTTCGTTAACGTGGTGCCATTTAGTTGCAATTTCATACATAAATAATGATTAGATGCCGTATGCACTTTGTACTCGTATGCTCATTCTGTGCAACGATTTCAGGTCCGCGCTCATATTTTCCAATGAATGAGGAAAATAAGCAACAATTCCACACGACGGAAACAAAACAGGAAGAATTCCGTCATTAAAAAAAGTGTCGAAATGAATCTATGGGCGCAAATAAATAAATAAACACATTTTTATATATTCGATGATCACATTGGCCGATAAATTTTCGTCGGTAATGTAAAATTGTACAAGACAACAGCGATAGAGGCGGCATTATCGGAAAACCATTGAAACGAAAAACCAACACAGTGGTGGGCTGAAAAAAAAGAACACAAACCAAAAATAATTGGAATATCCAATGTTTGTTTGCATTCACTTTGTGCACTTTTGAAATTATTTGAAGAACGTACATTCGATGTACGTGCACCGATTTAACCGGCTAAGTGTTAGAATAAATAGATCGAAAGACAATCATCATATGAAACACAAAATTTACAATTTTTTTCGGTAATGTTCTGGCAAACACACAAAAAAATGGCATAGGTAATACAATACACATTTTCACTCAAAATTCGAAGCAACGAGCTTCGGTGAAAATATAGAATCGCCGACAAAACCGAAAAATCCATGAATGAATTGTGTGTGTGTGTGTGTGTTGATGGAAATATATATCGTCTTGTTGGGCGCGCGTGCACAACCAACTGACTGTGTGATAGCAGCAGAAAATAATCAAATAGACGGCACACGGCACACACAATTCGTGTATTGGTGTGTGGAAACAAGCAACAGAGAGCTGCTATAGAGAGTGCGAACGATGACTGAACGATTTGTTTTAAAACAGGCAAAGCACACGGGCATGTGTTTTGAGCAGGCAAATGTGTATGATAGAACAGTTGAAAAGAACACACTGGTGAAACAAGAACGCAATCCAGTAGCTCTATATCGTCACGCGTTAAATTCGCCTCGTCTCATGCAGTCAGTTGAGATCGAGACCAGTTCGGATTCACATGTTCTCTCCTCTTCAGCTTGTATCTGTTTATTCGGAAGTTCACATATTGTGCGTGTTGTTTGTTTTTTTTTTTTCTCTCAATTTCACACTTTTTCATGATCCTGTACGCGCGCGATTAAAAGGATATAGATTTGTTGAAACTGGTTTTGAACGTCTGTGTGATTTTTGGCGCTTTCCAACACAAAAACTGAAATGAGCACATCAAACGGTTTCAGTTAATGTTGGTGTTTATTTGCAAAAAAGAAGAGAAAATTCACTTTGAATTTTCCGCCAAAAAAACAGACAATCGTTATTCGTACATTTTTAATGGCATGCAATAAAACTAGTGTAAACAACACATTCGATAATTTTGAATGTACTGAATTTTGCGAGGAAAATAAAGCGAATAAGCTATCTTGAACACTATATTTATATATGCTGAAGTTGACCGTTTTCTTGCTATCAAGCCAAGTGATCAATTAATTTTTGACAAATTTATTAAAGACAATTGGAAGAAATTCGAAAATTGTCTCAACACAAGAAGAAAATACAGTCTTTACAAAAGACAGTAAAGAGTGAATAGTGATGTTCCATTTTTTTTAAACGTTCGCTTATTTATGTTATATTTATGACAATTTATGACCAACTGAACTAAAAATATAACGTGTAACCCAAGCTTTCAAATTAATCGGCTTACGCTTAAAACTAAACACACACCGTACATACACAAAACACATTTGTTGATCCAAAAAGAATGGCAAGAGAGTGAGTGAGATTGAATGACTTTTGGCGCGCATTATGAAATATTGTAAATGCTTGTACGTTTCGCTTTTCGTCATCCAATTCATTTTCACTGAATGTGCCGTTTAAAACAACACATTATTGTCGTCGTTATTAATAATTTGGGCGCGCTCCAACGTAAAAAAAAAACAAAACAAATAAAATATCATCACGACAGATTCGGTGGGATATATTTAAGAAAATTTATTTAGTCCATCACGATTATAGAATTTTCAGACAGGCAATTTATCAACATTTCAACCATCACATATCACTAATTTGAAAGTGTTTATCGAAAGATCGAGACACACATAGAGAAAAAACACGTCCAACAATATTATATTATGAGTAAATTACATCCTAGGGGGGAGACACAAACTATTAAACCATGATTCCAATATATAAAAACTGATTCCACCAATCCGTCATTTCATTGTCAAATGTGATGTCACATTTCGCCGCTATTCACTTTGTTGAAAACTTATTTATCGATACTGGAGTATGACATTTTGTTATTGATAATTGAAATTATTTTTTTCATCAATAAAATGTTGAGAAAGTGTATCTATTGTTTTGTAAATTTGTAATCGACTTTTGAACTAAAAATATTTCAAAAAAGAACAAATTACTATCTCAAAACAAGTTCAATGCTTTGATCAAATTCTATAATATCGATGTCAAAAACATTGAATCTAACCCATTTTCACTATTCCATACATGGGATTAGTGAATCCATCTGAATCCAGCTACTGAATTGCCTATTCCACTTTAATTTCTCGAATTTTTACACTAAAAGTCCAATCCTATTCCACATGTCTACCCCCTAGATTACATCGTCCAAAATTTATCTGTCATAAATTATTTTCCTCTCGCGCGCCTTTTCATCTTCCTTTTTTTCTTTCTCTCTCTGCTGCTCTCTTTCTTTCTCCCTGTGTCAGCCAGTGTTTGTTTGTGCATGTCAAATAAATGAAAAAATATTAATTTTTAAATGATAATTTCCAGATGAATTGTGTTCAACCACGTAACCATCTAGCAAATAAATCAACATAATAATTAAGTCATATAACGTTATATGGTGTTAATTTTAAAGAAAAAACATTTTCATACACTCGAGATATATTTTGAATGGAATATCAAACATTGAGCCAATGTGCCGGACGTTATTAATTTTTTTTGGTCATAGAACAAAAACCCAAACATCGTTAACAGCAAACAACAGCAGAAAGGACACAAAGAATTGACACGAAAAATTGTCCTGTGTATATGTGGATGACATCAGGAATTGGCAATTTCATACGAATAAAATACAAAGGTTATTAATTTTGTACGTGCGGCCAGAAATCATCATATTCATTGTGTAAAGCCTAGCGTTCACAGTACAGTCACATATGTTCGCTTTCGCCTGCTCCCCCACAGATAATAATCAAAAACAATATTGAATAGTCGAAGTAGAAGTAACACGTATCAATATTTCATTTCGATATAGCCAATAATTGTTAAAGAGATAGAGAGCGGGCAAAGAACGAAATTCTATTGAATTGAGTACAAAAGTTCGTGGCATCAAAACCAAACACAAGAGAAGAATAACTATCATCACTGCGGCCACCGCAACTGCTACCATCAAATACACTTCCCATAGATAACATATATATTAAAAAAATATGCTTTCCAATTTATTTGATCAAATATTTGGTCGTTCTAAATGTGGAAAACGTGAAATAATTACAACAACAATTATTGAACCTGAATCGATTAACATCAATGATGATCCACGCACTTTGAATGATTCAACTGATTCACATTGCTGCTTTTTGCCATCATTCTCATTTTCCGATGTCGATGACAGCGAACAAAGTATACTGAAATCCAATTATGATGCGCAACCACAACATAAACAATCGACGGCAACGACGACGACGACACCCCAACAATTCATTTCGCGACAATATCATAATAATGACAATATACAACAACATAAACATCGCCTGACCAACCATTTAAATCATCAAAATCGTATTAGAAACAATCAAAATAAATTAAATGAAATATCAATTTTTAGTGTTTATTTGTTATTTGCCACGTTATTTGTATGCATTTGCACAATAGCCGTATTACTATTTACATATATGAATCGGGCCAATGATATAGTACAGCTACGTGATAGTTTAACAACGGAATTTATCTCGCGAACTGATATCGACGATATAATACGAAATGTGCTTCGAGAAATGAAAAACAAGAACAATAACGATGAAGATGTTGATGTGAACGACGATGGCGGCAATCGAAATAGTTTTTATGAGGATTCAAATGAAAGTATCGCCGACAGTCACAAAAATAACAACAACAATCAACAATTCAATCCCGATGATGATGATGATGATAGTATTAAAACCACGAACGGTCTTGAATTCAGGTGAGTAAAAGGCAATTATATCAAATGACTTCGACTTGGTCACGTACTACGGACGCACCTTTTATATTTTCACTTTGATCATAATTTTGATCAATTCGGAAAACGGTGTCCATAATAAGCTTTTCAAAAAGCATATTTAACCAGACATTATATTGAGATATTTGCAGCCAGATGAATCTGCTCAGTCAATTAACGTCAGGTGCTGAAATGTAGCGACAGCAATAAAAGTGATTTTTATAGTTTAAAAAAAAAAACACTTTCATTCTTACAAACAACATAACAATCACTTCTATTGTTTTCACTCCATTTCAGCTCCTGACGGCTGACGATAGTAGCCTGAGCTGATTCAGCTGGCTGAAAATATCTCAAGATAATGTCTGTATTTAACGCATGGACCAATATACCGACACCGTATGGACGCGTACAGATAATAATTGAAATTCAATTATTTTGAACAATGAACATTGAAACCTGCGATAATGTGTTCAACGGCAACAAGGGCAGCCCGTTGTGCGTGGCTAATTTTTCCCAACGATTTATTGATCCAGCTTTAAATCAAATAGTTCATAAATTGATGCGCACATTTCATATGCACACAATCTGACTCGATCGGTTTTTCATTCATTTCATTATTCGTGGCTTTTTTCCCTTTATAAAAAATACCTCGTATCTATTACACACAAACGAGCAATGCACACTGTAATTGCTACTTTGATATGTGAACTTCTGAATTAACTGTGTATATGTGTTATTCAATTGAAAAATCTGGCATCGTTTGTGAGATTGAAGTAATTCATTTGCTCGTTGTACAAAAGTAAATCAAGTGAACTGAACCGAGAGTGTTTCATTGTTTATTACATCTTAAATCTGATTTCTTATTATACATTTAGCACATGTTTTTACGAAACACCATTTTTAACTAACGAAAACAACAAATGGAGAAAAAAACATGACTTCATGTAGAGTTCATACTCAATTTAATTCGGATTTTGTTTTTCATAAGGTTTGACCTATCGGATTTTGTTCTTTACTGAGATTTTTTCTATTCAATACAATATTTTGACATATTTAAATCCATCCATAATCTAAGTTTTTAAACTGAAAATCCACAAAAATATCAAAATATGGCACTGAATAGAAGAAATGCGAAAGGCCTAGTTTAAAATTGGTTTGCCATTGCCAAAGAAATTGTCCAGTGCATATAAGGTTACACAACTGTTTCGTTTTTATGTTTCTTTTAGTTTGTAGCGATTAACTTGCCAGAGAAAAGTGAAAAGGGCATAGCAACAGCCGCCAAAAATTAGACAGAGTGGCTGGTTGGTTGCTCGAATGAATGGTGATTTCGTGCAAATTTAACCTATATTTCCATTGAAATCTAATCATATTTGACGTATTGATTGTTTTATGAAAGCGAAACGATGAGAATGGGAAAGATAGAGCATCTTGAACAAATGTCAATCAAATGTTGGATCCAAAAAACGTTCTCAGTCACAAAAAATCATTCACTTTTATTCAGGCGATGTTGGCCCTTATCCGAAATTGATTTAATATTTTATCTTCGGGCGTTTGGTCCTTTTTCTTTCGTTGCAAAAAATACAGCGACAACATTGATGGTAACAATAACAGAAATAGCGACGCTGTTCAATGGCAGCCAAACCCTTGTGGAAAATTACTGACTGGCTAGCCAGTCGTCTAATTTGGGACGTTTTCAGATTAAGCCGACTGAGATCGAAATCATTTTAAGTTGATTTATTTGACTTTTTTAATATAGCAAAGTATAACTTAAATCGACTTTAATCATAGTTGACTGTATAGTCGCCTAACGTCCCAAATAAGTCGTTTAGTTAAATAGACGACTGAAGTCGACTAAGTAGTCGGTTTTAGCAACCAAATTCATTTTCATTTGATTTCAGCTAGTCAGTCAGTCAGTCACTTTTCTTCCACACGGTAATGTTCTTAATAACTGCAATATGAACGAAATTCAACGGTATATTCGGTACATTTTCGAACCAATTTCTATTTTCGTTAACTATTATTCTTTGCATACCGAGAACGGCAAAAAAAACGCAGCACATTGTTTGCATTCAATTTAAATGGAATTGGCATATGATTTGAAATGTTGCTTTCAATATTCTGAAGTGCAAAAAAAAGTGAAGAAAAAAAGGTTCAAATATATCTATAATTTCACTTGAGTTGCGAGTTCTGCGAGGGCATAAGTATCAAAAAACTGTCGGTTAGCTTAAAGATACGCACTCAGCAAATCAAATCTGAAAAGCTCACTCTGCCGAAATGATATGCATAATTGAATTGGTCCGAAGCGAATTATTTTATTTTCCATTTATAATAAATTCATTCCATTTGTATGTTACACAGTCATACAATGTTGCTAGCTAGCTATCTATATCAGCTATTGCTATAGGGATATATAAATAGCTGCTCTTTAACGCATCTCTTCGCTCGGACGCTGCATATACTCGACATAACAATGGTGTCATTGTTATGAAATGATTTAAAACCATCCAGCGTTCACACCGTCCGAGCTAAGAGATGCATTAAATAGCAGCTATTTATATATACCTATAGCAATAGCTAATATAAATAGCTAGCTAGCAACATTGTATGTACACGGTTATCTGATTACCTTGCTCATAATATTTTCGCCGTTCTTGTTCTTTGCTCCAAGCCAAATCGATTGGATATTCAACAATGCAAGAGAAATAAGATTTTACTTAAAAAAAAAAAGAATTTTGTGCGTATTTGAAGTAAAACCAATAGCATTTGCATCATTGTAGTCGATTTTATGTAATATATTCGATTATTGTAATATATCTATCGATGGAATTTGGTCGTATCAGCTCAAAGTGAGTGTACTACAACACGGCGGTATTTATTCATATTAAATGGATTAATCGATTTCAATTCGAATAATCGAATTTCTTCGACAACCAAACGAGTCGGAATTTGTTTGCAAATTCAATGAAATCAAACCGTTAAATGTGGTAATCGAATTAATGTTATTAAACGACCGGACGATCAATCTACTGGTGTATATGTGTTCTCTATCTCTCTTTCTCTCGTTCTCTTTCACCACTGCTGACCATGTACAATTTTTCCATACAATTTATATATACATCTGAGTGATATTTTTACAATACTTCAATTTAATATCCGCCACTTGAGTTCCAATAAAATCATTCCGACATGTTCACTTTAGTATTACAAACATTTCGAAAGATTTTCATAAAATATTAATAAGAATATAACAAAAAATGAAGTTTTGTTCCTTTTACTCCGCTCTCTCTATCTTCCGTTTGCGTCCTCACTTGCTTAATAATCGAAATGAATAACATTCTAACAATACACATGCACATGGAAAAAACCCAACGAGCGTTCGCATTGTCAATGATTTCAAAATGTGTACCAAATACAGCATCCATAAATCATAATTTAGTATACGGATAACTTAATTTGTTTCAAAAATGCGTATCGTTTTTTGTTTCGAAACATAAAAATAGCATCCAAAAATCGAGCAAGAAAAACAATGTATGGAAAACAGAAGCGACCAATTGAAAATGTAACAACTTTCTAATATAGAAATACAAGAGTTTTTCAAAATAAAAATAATCGCCATCTCTCTTTCTCACACACGCACATTTTGCGTTTATAAAGACCAGATTATTGGTCGTTTATAAGCGCACAGACTTACGTCTATTTTTGTTATAGAATATCCAAGAATAACCACTTGAAGGCAATGAAAATGAAATTTCTTTTTTTCGTAGAAACAAAAAAAATAATACCATAAATATCTTAAAAATGTATCCACCAAAATTGTGTCCAGACGCGAAAAAGCAAGTAACCAACAACAACAGCTGAAACGTTACAATATATATATACACACACACAAATGTGTATTAAACTTGGAAAACTGAATGAATCAAGTAAAATGAGCAATATTAGAAAAAAAAATGAGCCTTTTGAAAACGTCGCTGTGAAAACATCTATTCAATTTGTGCCAGTTGCAATGCAATCGTTTCGCTCATATAGGCAGCAACTTTATTTGCCTTGAATTGGACATTAAAAAAAAGATCGAAACGCAGGCTAAAGAGATAAGGGTGCAAAACTGCATGGCCAAAATCAGACGAAGAAACAATACGACACACATATTGTGTTTGTGACTTAGATGCATATATTTTCTGATATTTATGTTTATTTGTCTCGGGCGCACAGGCTCCTCTTTCTCTTTCTCTCTCTCTCTCGATTTCAAAACGATTTGCCATTTTGTATGCATGGACCGTTTGATGTGACGCTAGAAAAATTCACGTTACGCATTATTAAACACAGGCGCTGCTGCCACTTTGTTTTTTGTTTTTTATATTACGATTGAGAACACACGCTCACATCTTGTTGTTTTGTGTTTCTCTGGTTTAATATTAGATTTACATTGGTTTAATGTTGGTCTCTGTTGATTGTGAGAGAGAGAGAGAGAAAGTGAGAAAGAAAAGAACAAAATGAATCCAAGACCAAAATCTGGATGATACTTTTGAGCGTTGTGCAAATAATGACCGTTTAAATTATTTATTTATAATGAGATTTATGTAATATGCACGAAAACGAACGGGCCATGAGACAGAACGAAATGAAGAATAAGAAAAATCAGTAGCAATTTCCTTAACAATCATTTTTATGGAATGTTGGCATCGCGTGCGCGCCTGAAATGTACATACACAAACATGTGAATGTGGACGATGCCAAGAGACGCGGACAAAAAATGAAATTGGTGGCAAAACACCAATGACACTTTTGGATGCTTCCGAAAAAAGGAGATGGAAATAGACAATTACCGGAAACATGAATTTGCATCTTGACGAGGGATTGTGCGATTTACCGGATTCAAAATTTTTTTCCTCTCTCTCTCACTCTGTTGGAACAGTATCATAAAACAGTTGAAGCGTTCAAACTACAATACCGTTATCACATGAAAATGCAAGGCGACATTTTATGATACCCAAAAAAAAAATTTCATTGCTAAATTATTCTCTTGCTAAATTGATCCGTGTGTATTTGGATCGTGTTCTGTGTTGTCGCCCGTTTGTTTACGCACTTTTTCTTTATTATCGAGTTTATCTCATATGCAATCTATTTTGTTCTCAAGCCAAATTCAGTCATTGGCCCGTGAATTGATGCGCTCATTTAATTTTCATGAAAATAAAAAGAATTCTAAATTTAAAGATAACACCATTATCATCATTTTAACATCTACGGAAATTGAAGCATGTTTATCCTTCGTCTCATCATCGTATAGGCCAATGGCATTTTCTATTGTTCTTGATAATTTAATATTTTTGAATTGAGAACGTTAATTTCGGCAGAAAAAAAATTGGGCACCATGATTTGTTTGAATGGCAGAGGAATTTTCTGTTTAAAACAAGAGCGCATACTATTTGAATCAATGACAAAACTATTCACATGAATCAATTGATGAAATCACAGTTTCCATTAATTTTGCATTATTTTCACATTTCGTTCATCGAATCTAGTTCTCGTTCATCAACCTGTCCACAGCAAATTTTATGCTAACGGCCAAATAGTAAACAACATCATACGAACGTAAACAATAAAAATCGAACAGCACTGAACGGAAACGAGCAAACTTCAACAAATGAACAAAAACCATACAGAAAATGAGTCCAATACTATCATAAAATTTAGTGCAAACACACTATCCTACAATAGAATGGCATTTCAGTTTTTCTTTGAGGGTAGCCGAAGCGGAAAAAAAATTGGCAACATTTCGAGAAGATGCATTCAGTTAGAATAGACAAAAAACATTTCGAAACAAAAATATGATATGACCAAGACTTTTATTACAAACATTTTTAAAAATTATAGATTTTTATGTAGTTAGATAATGTAAATTGCTTGGAGTTGAACAGACCTGGAGATCTTTTTTTTAAATTTTGTGGTATTTTCCTTTTTTTTGTGCTGTACAGAGACGTTTTGTATGATGATTATATCACCAGCATTGATGACGATGACGATGATGATGACGATGACATCAGAAACGGCGACAATGTGGGCACCAAAAAGCAACCAAATAAACAACAACCACAACCGCCACCCGTACAAACGGAACGGAAACCATCGCAAATGTTGAATACAATGCGAAAACGACGTGCTGCAAATATTTTTAATGAAAACTATGTAACTGATGCACAAAACAATGGTAAGTAAATCTGTATATTTAATCGAGATAACATTTGTCTCTCTTTGTTTCTCATTCGCTGTCTCTCTCTTTCGCTTGAATGGCCGGCTCTGAAGAAAAGAAAACTCTCACCGCTTGTTCATTTGTATTTCGGCATCATGACATTTGATACATGAAAACAACCAACACGAAAAAGAGAAAAAGCAACACTTGAAAAAACATTAAAAACTTGGGATCCCAACCCACGAACGAAAGATAGAAAAATGTGGAGATCGTCAAAAATTGAAGCAACAAAATGTTCCAACGCTATATTGTACATTGATAATGATAAGCTTAAATAGGGAAAAAGAGAGGATAAGCCAAATGGATGAAAAGAAAATAAGCAAAAGCTGCTGTTTTTACTGCTGCTATATGCATCTGAAAGTTCCATTGTGTGGTTAAAATAATGACATCAAATTCATAACTATATAATAGATTTAGTCGGCAATTTTTGTGATAAGAATGTATGTATACATTGTTGCGTGTCGACTTTTGACTCAAGTTGTGTGATCCCCATTAGTTTTCGCCACTTTTCATTTACCTCTCTGTCTCTGCCTCGCAATTTTGATTATTTTGCGCGTAAACACAAAGTTTTTTGTAGATTGTGTAATATCAAACTTCGGAAGTTATCAACGACGTTTTAATATAAATATAAAGTTAAACCTCAGGAAATGATGTACACATTTTGGTGCAGTTGAGTTTGAGCATTTTGTTATCTAATTGCGTCAAACTTCATTGTGCATCGCATTTTACATTCGGCAATTCAAGCGCAGATAATTGGTCTTGGATGCATAACTGACGGCAGAGACAGTGTGGCATCGACGGATTTCAGATCAATATACATCATCAAACAATAATGAGATTCCGTTTATGCGATCGTGTGCGAATGAAAGGGATGAAAAAAGCTAAACACAAAAAACGATTTCACTGAATGCGCATAAATACTTGATTAAGTTTCATAATGCCAACAATTTTCAACAAAAATACGATATGAACAATTCAATTTCTATGTACGAAACCAACCAGCACCGGTGTAGAATCAAGCGGAGCACAAATCATTTATGGCATGTCCATATTTATTTTGGATGCAAAATCTATTTCTGCCAACAGAACCATTTAACGATTTAAGAACAGCATCCACTCAAAACATTACCCAAACAACACTTGAAAATCTTTGCATTGCACGAAACTAATTCAACGTTTGAATTTAAAAGAAAAAATGTTGTTGAAACTTATTAACGTAAAAACCCTTTTTTTATTCTCTTTTCTGTTTCATTGCTCCCGTTTTATTTTGATGTGGCGGTGGTGGCGGTGATATCGGACGAAAAAACAAACACTATGAAAATCGATCTGAAAACCGTACAGTTCAAGGGCCTTTTGTTGAGTTTTTCAATCCAAAAATGAGGCGCGAACTTGAGAAAAAAGATGATGAAATCAAACGAACAACAGGAAAAGGTAGTGCACCGGGTGGCGATGAATGGTCCTATTTAACCAGCATCTCTCGCGTACCGGTAAGTTATTATACCCACCACAACTATATTAAGATAAAATGCAACAAAGTATCAAACTATAGTAATAACGGCCACTTTTTTAATTACAAATACAAATGAAACGCGATTTAATTTATTTTTAATGAAAAATTGTGCACATTGTTTGCCCATTTGAGTTTTATAGAACCCTACAAAATGAACTACTAAATGATGAACACTAAAATGAACGATTAATGAATAAATAGAAACACAAAGTATGCTAATGCATGCATTTTACAACAAGGAATCCAAATGATCTTTTGTTCGATGCAATATCAAAATTATTCGATTATTTCGAAAAGTTAATTTTGTGATTATAGTCATTTGAAATGAAGGATGAATATATTGTTAATGATGAGTATACTTCAATAAGAAATCAATCAAATGTGTAGGCTGTAGGGAATATACTGGTTTTTTTCATCGTTGTCTTTTAATTCATGAGTGTGTTCTCGTCAAGGCAAAAAAGGGCAAGTTGAACTAATTTTATGTTTCTAATGTTAGTCTAATGGACGTCATTTAATTTTAAACTTTAAATAGCACATTATTCGATGCACTGAATTTTATTGGTAAAATGTTTTCTATTCAAGCGCGAGAAGAAAATTTAATTACTTAAATAGGACGGCGTGCATTGGCGCCAGTCCATTTTGCAAGAAGAACGATCTGAGCATCGGGAGAAAAGTGAACGGTGACCTTAATAATGAAATCATACCCAATTCCGCTTTTGAAGTGGGTGAAAAAAAAGGAGAGAAAATTTGTAACAATTTAAGTAAAACCTTTCTATTTCAATAAAATTATGAATGATAAAACGAATTAGTATAGCCTTAAAATCTTCTTTCACAACGTTCAGATCGATAAAACGTCGAAACGGTGCATTTTCAAAAAGTAAAACGAAAAAAAATTGGATGAGTGATCGTGGTCATTCTCATCATTTTCCAAACATTCGAAGTAATGTCATGTCATTTTTTTCATGGTGGTGGCATCTTTTTTTTTTGTTGTTGTCGCTTGATGTGGTGATTTGATTAAAATTTTAGACATACACCATTTTGTCTCTGTTGGCCTGAAACAAATGAATTCAGTGTGTGTCATAAATCAAAACTGCACACATTTTGACAGCATAACGATGTTATGAGCACGGAATTAACGAAAAGTGGATAGATAGAGAAACAAAAAGAGAGTATAAGGATTTTTATTTATGTCATTGCAACAGACATCCGATGTGCACGTATTTTGAAGAGAATTTTTTTTCCACATTCGTCTTCTCCTCTTTTCTTTGTCACTCGACGTCGTCTTTTTTTTCCGGTACACGTTTTTGTTGCGCACTCCATTCTCTTTATTTATTCTTCAAATGAACAAAATCACTTGAGCGCTAAATTTACTACAACATGCACAGCATATTGAGATGGGACGTATTATGATGCTATTAATGCATGGAACAGTTTCCTCTCTCTCTCTCTCTCTCTCTTTAAATACACAAACTCTTTTTCTCTTCGTTTTTCTCTACATATTTTCCATCTTTTATTTTCGCACTCTTGCAAACGATACAAAACGAATGTACAGCAGTAGCAACATCGAAGGTACCAACTAAAACGTGAGAATATATCATCGCAAATACACATTATGGTTTACATAAAAAATGTAATTTGTCAAGAATATTTTTTTCGGTCGTTTTTTTATCTCTTTCGCTCCGATTTTGAAGCATCATCATATTTTCTCTCATTACATTTAGCGATTGATTAATATGTAATAGGAATTATGGTTATTTATGCGGAAACTAATGAGCTGGCTTTGATTTTGTTTGTTTCCGGTGTGTGCACGGTTCTTTTTTCATCGAATTGTACAATTCACAAAATTATAATAATAAGTCATTGGAATGTTGGTTGAATCGTTTATTGAATTTTCAATCACGATGAAAACAATTTCATTGAACAATGATGTATTTGACTGAAGCATTTAACATCGGTTTTACGCTTAAACCATTGCCACTTAATATCAGTTGTTATAGTTTAAGCAACTACGAAAAAGAATAACGTGCCTTACCAAGTTCATTGGTTATTTGTCCAATGAGAAAACAAAGGTTGAGGTCACACATAAACCTACATTCTCGCACTTCAATTTGTCATTCATGTTCGATCGTACCACAATGACACCCTATATTTAATACAATTACGCGGATTTTCATGGCATCGAAGTGTAGCATTTGATGTTTTTTGCGTCATTGGCTCTGCCTTCACAGAGATGGCAAATATTTTTATATATTTTTAACAAATTACCCTTTTTCTTTATCTGGCTGAGAAGATAGTGAAAGTAAAATGTATCAAGTTAAATTTTCAATTGCTTCTTAATCAAGAATGAAAAGCTTTTTTTCTTCTTTGTTTCCGAAACGATTTCTTCCACAAAAAAATCGACGATGAAACTCGAGCTAGTCGCCAATTTTTTTTCTGGTGTTGGTTTGCTGTCATCTGAAACGTGTTCAATCGATGTCATTGTGTCTGGGCTTTAAGTACATCAACGAAAAAAAAATCACGTGGTTTTCTCTCACTCACTTTTTTGCGTTTTCTTTGTTTATCACCCCAAAGGATGTACGTTGTTTGACAATGGAACAAACAATGTTTTTAAAAAGTCAACGAAAAACCTGATGTTTATGTTTTTTTTTTTGAAGACATGCAGCAAATGCAACACATTTCACACAAAAACAACATCATTGCACGCTTTTCACAATACTTATAGAAAAATGGAAATTGGAATTGGTAAGCCTTTTCAGACACTCAACGACTACACATATAAACACCAAAACTAACAGCTGCTAAATGCTGCAGTGGAGTGGCGTTGGAAATTTTCGGATAATGTGAAAATAATGTTGAAATTCCAATTTCAATTATGTGCCATTTATTTGTCAGATATTTAATTTTCCGATTATTAAAAATTCCAATGGCTTGGACCAAACCGCATGGTATTTTATTAGTTCATCAAAAGTGATAAAATTATTGTGCCATTCCAACTATAACTTTGAATTGTTTTTTGTTTCTGTGTTTATGTATTATTTGTTGAGCACAACATGTTACGAACTGATTTCGGACTATTTTCCGAAAATTCGAGAATTTTTCCAAAAAGAATAGAAATAGCTCATTCCGTACAATAGTTATTGATTTGTAAGTTCTGTAACCGGTGAATTTAATAACCCTACTAAGATTACATGGCAAATAATAAATGAAAAATAGAAATACGTGCGACTACAAATCATACATGGAGACAGGGGAAAGTTCGTCCTTAAACGGAAGTATTTCTTTTGAAAAGTGCTCTTCAATTTATATTTTTGAGGAAGTTTTTCCTTTTAAAAGGATAGATTCCTGTTTTCTAGGGTTTTTGAGGAGAGAAAAAGTTCTTTCGATTGAAAATGAAGTACCTCTTTTTGCTAGGAAATTTTTGTCTAAAAACTCTCCCAAATCGAACGAATTTTCTCCAAAAAGTCCAAAAGTTCTAAGTATGCGACCAATGTACGAATCTATGGTTAAAAGTATTTAGTTCAAGAGAAAGTCATGAACAGACCCAATCAAAAATTACTATTGGAGACACTTCGTTAATGTTATCTTAAAAATAAATATAAAATCATAATTTTTCGCATTCATAGTTGCTTGCAAATGAAACCTTAAATAACAAAATTAACGCTGTGCATCGCTGTGAAATCAAATTTGAATTACCGTGACAACGGTTGTGAAAATACTTACAACTATTTTACGATCTGCTTAAAAAAAAGTTAAATATGAGAATTATATTTATAAACTTGTCAAAATATGGCCAAACAAATCCAGAATGATATTAAAACAAACATTCATTTACTTCGCAGTCTCATATTGATATCAAAACAAGTACTGAATACGAAACTTAGCACTTTTATGCCAATCGAGTTATTTCTTGGAACTGCCGCTGTTCACCTTTCAACTTCTCTTTTCTTTTAAATACACACGGTCTTTTGCTCATTTTCAGAAGCATCTTGTCACGCTGAATTATTTCAAGCGAATTTTATTTCGTCCTATATATTTGTGAGTTTCATATTACATCACAGAAGCAACCAAGTTCATAATACGTATGGCGACCGTTGATCATATAATTTGTACGCGTTCTGTAAACCGAACACTAGTTGATTTTCAACAAGGTACGCGAAATATAGTGTACACCACAGCAACAGTCCGTTGTCATAACAGAGAGGGAAATGTACGGTGATATTGTCACACGTGCATGCATATCAACTCCAGTTTATGTGTATGTGGAACTGTTCAAATAAGTGCTCTCTATTTGCTCTAATAAAATATAAATTGAAGTATCTGTGCGCTTTCATATCATATGGCATTTGTAAGATTTGAGTTCTTTGCTTTTTATCGAGAAAAATGAGGGAAGGGGAGCGAGAGGAAAAACGAAAGAGGAATACTTTCTTCGTTTTGTTTCTTCTCATCGTCACTTCTCTTCACATTTTTCTTCATTTCTCTCACAGTTGCGTCTCATTTAAACCAATTATATGGTGGTTTGCATTTCTTTTTTTTTTCGATCTAGAATGACAAGTGAGTTTCAACATTGAGACCAATAATAAGAACTCATTCAGGTGCTTTATTGTTGAAAGAAATTCTCGTTCGCAATGCAGAACAACAAAAACAAATATCCATACTTGTGACGGCTTCTCCTCCCAATGTTTCATGTTACCCACAGTCCGGAAAATTGATAATTTTGATAACTGATTATCATTATAAGTAATTAGTTAAGCCTTATAAGTTTTAACCAGCATCCTCAAACCACACTCAAACAAATTTTCGAGTACGGTTACTCGCACTTGCAAGTTGTTTGAGTGTAAAAACTAATAAGGCTTAGATAGTTATAATAAACGATGATAATAAGTCAAGTTTTTGACTAAACAGAACTCTGATGTTACCGTTACTCCGGTGAAATTTAAAGCGAATTAAAATGAAACGATAATGAATACTTTCACAGTT